CAAGGGGATCGTCCTCTTGCACGTCACCGACACTCGTCCTCCAACGCCCTTGAATCTTCCATCGGCTGGTTCGGCTGCTGGCATCATTCCATACATCTGGTGGAATCTTGCCATCCATCTGTCACCATGGCATGTATTGTTGCAGCCAGTATCCAAAACTGCCAAAACCTTGCCATCAGGGTCGCCACCAAAGTTCACGGCGTAGGCTTCGCATCCAGATGACTGCTCCTTGCGCTTCTCTGCGTACTCGGCGTACTTGACCAATTCAGGGTCCTTGAGAGTGCAGCTCTTGAGCTTTCCGATCAACGTCTTGGTGTAGGGGACCTCGCCGACGTAGACCTCGTTGTAGGAACGTCCACGAGGAACTCCAGCGGTCAACGTCTCCTGATCCAACAACCTCGGATCTGATGTCACATAGCTTGAGCTCACAGATCCTGGTGATGGCGCTGCCACAGAAGTTGCTTTGGAAGACGTAGTCCTTGCGCTCCTTGAACGGTCTGCTGATCGTCGGTCATGGCTCCTCACCACAGACTCCTTGCACTTGTCATAGATCTTGTCCAGCTGCTGCACTGAGACATGTACGCCCAGCTCCCGTTGCACCTCCAACACATGACCCACCAGGTTCATGATCTCGTCCACCTGGTTGTCCTCGTCATCCAAAGGTGTCGTAGGCGTAGGGGTCACCGATGCAGGTGAGGGTGTCGCAGCTGCTTCACGTGCGCTCTGTCCAGGCTGTTTGCTGCCACGTTCAACGTGTCCGCACTTCTGACATGTCCACTTCTGACATGTCCACTTCCATGACGTTGAAGTAGATCCTCTATAGTCCTTGAGCTCGTGTGCGCACTCCTGCTCATCCTCTGTCTTCATCTTCTCGGCCTTGGCCAACTTCTCCTTCTCCAGAACTTCTCCACGGTCTCTGCATTTCACCTGGCGTTGGTGAGGATTAGAACCTTGCTTGGTCGTCCTCAAGTGCTGACAGACTCCACTGGGTGATGGGCTCTCCGGTGGCGGCTCCAGAAATCCTCGGGGTAGATCATGTTCTTGTTCCACTTGTCGTCGTTCTGCATCACGTAGAGCTCGACGTTGATCATCTGAAAGTCCTGAACCTGCTGAAGGTAGTTCAGGGATCTTCGGAAGTCCTTGTGCTGCCTTTGCCGCCCATCTCACCAGGTTCTGTCGGTCTTGCTCTCCAAAGAGTGGATGGCCAGGTACCATCTCCGACCATCTCTCCTGATAGGCGTCTTGCCATTCTGGATCTTGTCGATTCTCGTAGCGGGCCAGGTAGAGGTCAAGGTAGCGCATCCTCGCTTCCGAGCGCTGCCATCGATCCCCTGGTACACTCAGCTGAGCCACCAGAACTGCGTGTTCATCTTGAAGTCGTTGTGGAAGATTGTCAGGTCGCATTGACTCCATCTGTGATCTGGCCTGTGCTTCCTTGATCATCTCGTCCAGCATCTCGTCAGCGCTCTTGTCCTCCACCTTGATCGCCATGTAGGCAGTGGAAGCGGTGGCCTTGTCGTCCTCGTACTCGTTGACCGTGAAGTACACCGTTCTCGGCTTGTCCTGGTTCTTGCCTTTGCCAGACTTGCCGCCCTTGGAGGGTGTTGTACTGGTAGTAGTCGATGTAGCTCCTTTCGGTCCTTTGCTCTTGCTGCCACCTTTGCGCACATTCTTGGGGCACGCTGCATCATCGCCCCAATGTCCATACTGCCCACAGCGCCTGCATGTTGTCTTGGCTTTCATAGCTTGGATGCGGGCTTTCTTCTCCTCCAGCGTCAGGTTGCCTCTGACTTCATAGCTGCGTCCCTGAGACCAGAAACCATAATGGCCTGTCTCTTGCGCCTTCTGTCTGGCGTAGAACACCTCGCTCTCCGCTTGGAGGATGTCCGAGGCATAGTCAATGGCCTCCTGGTCGGTCTCGTCCAGGCCCTCGTCGATCATCGCCTGGAACACATGGTAGCCCGGGTCCTCATAGTCGTCGTTGTAGAGCTCCGCATCCTCTCCATAGTAGGCCGCATTGTCGTAGTCCTCATAGCCTCCCAGCGACTGGGATGCGTTCTCCCATGTGTCTTCTCGTTCATCCTCAGCGTGATGCGACCTCCATGGTGCTTTGCCCTTGTTGTAGCCCTTGTTGGATCCCTTGTTGTAGTACTTGCCCTTGCTGCTGCCTCCATGTAGTCCTCCTTGTCGATGCCTGGACTCCCGCTCATGGATACGAGAGTGTTGCGCCACCAGTTCCTCGCACACCTTCTTCCATGTGACATCTCCTCCAATGGCGGTGCGGATCAGGAGCTTGTGATCCTCGCTGAGTCCAGCGTTCTGCAACAGCTGTTCGGCCACATGCCGTCGGGCAACTTCAGCTCAAGGTCCAAGTCTGTCATCAGCCCATGCCAAGCCTTTCGTCGAAGGACGTAGCTCGGCATGCTCTCACCGTGTTGTCAGGATAGAAGTCCTCCTTGCTGCGCTCCTGCTTGGTAGAGCTCTCGGGCCTCTTGGCGGCTTCGAGGCTGTAGCATCGTCTGCATGGACTGGAGCAAGTAGTCCGGTCCTTCATCGCCAGCCAGCTTGTCCACGGCGAGGTTGCGGGCCACCTGCAAGGCAGGTCCTCTGAGACCATCTATGAGCCTGATGCCCAATGGCCCCAGCTTCTTCAGCTCCTCAGGCGCCATTGCCTTCTCACGCGCCTGCTTCAACCTCACTCTGAAGCTGTACTCGGCCAGACGTGCCGAATCGCCGTCGAATCGTGGGACGCCGCTTTTGCCCTCCGTAGATGCTGACTCGTCGTGCGTCTGCGAGAACGTGTGCCATCTAAGGCTATCCAACACCGACATGGCTCGGCAGTTGGCGGGATATGAAAAGGTGTAGGGTTGTCCACCTTGTGAGGGTCTTACCAAAGGGTTCCCCCGGAGCTTATGTGCTCCGCTACCAATGCGGAATTGGTGGCCAAAACACAAGTGAAAAAGCAAGTGCATGCAAGTTCCCAAGTGCTACTTTTACACTGCTGACAGATGTCGCTGTGCTTGAGCCATCCAGCATGGATGGGCAAAATGAAAGGGCCATGAGATGACATGCGGCAGGATGGATTTCATCTACAATGCACCATGTTGTCACTGTTTTCACAATATTCTCAACGCATAGTCTTGTAGAGCAGGTGGGGGTAACATTTTAGATAAGTTTTGACATGTCAACTTTGTTGATCAACGCATTGTTTTGCAGGGGAGTGGGGGAGGAATCCGGGAGGAATTTTGAAAAACATGACTCAACATGTCAACATTTGTCATACTTTCAACGTGTTGCTTTGTAGGGGTGGTCAAGAAAAAACAAAAAATCGCACCATATCAACTTCGATCATATTCTCAACCTCTTGTTTTGTGGGGGGAGGGGTTGCAAGTCTCAAAAAACTTAACAGGACTTATGTCAACTTTGATCATGCTCGTACTGTTTCTGTAGGGGAGATGGAAGGGAATGTAAACATGACTCAACATGACATTTTTCGTATTCAAAACGCATGGTTTTTTGTAGGGCAGGGGGGGTGGAAGTTAAAACATGGCTCAACATGTCAACTGTGTGCATATTCTCAAGGTAGCGTTTTGCAGGGGAGGGTGCGGTATCAATCTAAAATTTACAGTACCCCACATGTCAACTTGGTTCTTACTTTCAAAGTATTGTTCTGTAGAGAAAGGGTGGTAATTTCTAAAAATGTCTTAAGATGTCAACCTTGTTCATTTCTCAGCAGTTTGTTTTGTCCCGTGGGTGTAAATTTAAAAAATGATTCAACAAGTAAATTTTGTTCATATAGTTAACGTATTGTTCTGTGGGGGAGAGGGTGGGGAAAAAATCGAAAGTGACGAACATGTCAACCTCGTTCATACTTTCAATGTATTGTTTTGTAGTGGAAAGGAAGAAATTAAAACATGACTCAGCATGTCAACTTTGTTCATATTCTCAACGTTTTGTTTTGTAGGGAAGAGGCGGGGCTAAGTTCTCCACGTGTCGTTTTGCACGGGAAACCGGAAAAGGCCCAAATTGACTTAACATGTCAACTTTGTTCATAGTTTCAATGTATTGTTTGGCAGGGGAATGGAGCAGGGGTAAATTCTAAAATTGCATAGAGGTAAACTGACAAAGCGTGTCAACTTTGTTCATACTGTCAACGTATTGATTTGTAGGGAAGGGGAGGGATGAAAAATCAACATTGCCTTAGCATGTCAACTCTCTCCATACTTCCAACGTATTGTCTTGTAGGCGACCGGTGCGGGGAAGTCCAAAATTGACTCAGCATGTCACTTTCTTCATAATTGTTTTGTAGGGGAAGGGGAAAATTCAAAATTGGCTCAACACGTCAACTTTCTTCATACTTTCAACGTATTTTTTTGTAGGGGAAAGGGGGCAAACCTTGAATTTGAACAAATTTGACTTACTGTGACATGTCAACTTTCTTCGTATTTCAACGTATTGTTTTGGAAGGGAGGGGGGGTAAAGTTTAAAACTTACCCAACATGTCAACGGTTCGTTTTGTGGGGGAAGACGGGTAAGTTTTACAATTATATAACTCTATATATGTGACACGGTATTCAACGGTGATTTCTTTGCAATTTTCTGTTGGCCATGGATACCATGGATTTTAATGGTTGCCAGTGATTTGGCTACAGTTTCTGAACCGCAGTTGCTGACCCGCGTTCAGTTGCTGAACCGCAGTTTCCGGGCGTAGTTGCAGAACCGCAGTTGCTGAACCAGATGTAGTTGCTGGACCGTAGTTGCTCAACCGGGGCTCTTAATTGCTGAAAAAACGTTAGTTGCTAAACCGTACTTACGAACCTTGGTTGCTGAAGATTGCCGCAGGGGCCAGTGTTATCAACCTTGTCCCGATGAGGAACTCTGTTCATTAGATGATCGGCCTAGGATCCCTGGAGCATTGTGGGACAATCCGATGTATCGTGCAATTTTGTTTTGGCCAGGAACACTTCGATCCGGCCGACATCACCAGGCCGAAACCAGGCCTTTGTGAAGCAGGATATGTTTCAGCGCCGCCCGGCCAGGCTCCGACCTCCAGAACAGACTTCTCCTCGCCTGAAACATATCCTCAGCAACAAGTGACATGTCTTGATGGGATCACACTCCTCCAACTATCAAAATATGTCAAGTAAAGGTGCGGATTGAGGGTTGGGAGATTGCCAAGCCCCCTCTCGGCCATGTTATCTGGGGCTAGGGCTTCATGGTTTTGCGGAAGGGTGTTCTGATGGCATCTGATGGCTAGGGCATACGTTGCATACATTGCACAATGCCTTTTGGTGTTCTTCTTAGTGGTCATCAAAACTTAAACTGGCCGCGTATCTCATGGTCTTCGTATTTTCTGCAGTTGAAATACTAGTCCAAACATTCAAAAACATGCACCTCGGACAATGTTTGTGTCAATGTCAATGTTGATCTTTTGCATCTGTCCCCATCGAGCTCTTGCACGGAATTGCAGTTGCATCAAAATTTATTGAGGGTCAAACTGTCATCAACATGTTTTTCCTGCTTCTTGTGACGTGTTTATCATTCAAATATATTCAAATAGGTTCGTATGTTTGCCAAAAGAGGTTCCTTTAAAATTGCATCATCTATCCACCCACCTCGGCCGAAACAAAGGGGAACGCGCTAGGGAAGAAAAGTTTCCTAGCAACAACAGCAACAACAACAACAACAACAACCACAACCAACAACCAACAACCAACAACCAACAACCAACAACCAAACAACCAACAACCAAACAACCAAACAACCAAACAACCACACAACCACAACCACAACCACAACCACAACAACAACAACAACAACCACAACCACAACCACAACCACAACGACAACGACAACGACAACGACAACGACAACGACCACGACCACGACCACGACCACGACCACGACCACGACCACGACCACGACCACGACCACGACCACGACCACGACCACGACCACCACCACCACCACCACAACCACTACCACTACCGCCACCACAACCACAACCACAACCACAACCACAACCACAACCAACATGCAACATGCAACATGCAGCATGCAACGTGCAACATGCAACATGCAACAAGCAACAAGCAACAAGCAACAAGCAACAAGCAACAAGCAACAAGGCAACAAAGCAACCAGAAAACCAGCAACCACAACCAGCAACAGCAACCAGCCAAACCAGCCCAACCGCAACCAGCAGCAAACCACCAACCACCACCAACCACCGCACCACCCACAACCACCACCACCACCACCAGCAGCACCAGCACCAGCACCACCACCACCACCACCACAACCACAACCACAACCACAACCACCACAACCACAACCACAACCACAACCACCACAACCACCACAACCACCACAACCACCACAACCACCACAACAACCACAACAACCACAACAACCACAACAACCACAACAACCACAACAACCACAACAACCACAGCAACCACAACAACCACAACAACCACAACAACCACAACAACCACAACCACAACGACAACGCTCCAAAGGCGGGGCTAGACGTGCAACGTATGCAACGTAAAGACATTCTCTGCATGGAGATCCCACAGGATTGCTATACAGTGATCCTGTGAGAGTTCATCTGAGGGATCCTTGAGCGCCCTGTGGCCCCACAGGATCTACAGGAATCCTGTGAGTTGCTCTGAATCCTGGGGGGACATACTGTACTTACAAAGGTCCTTGTCCTTGTATAACCTTGAAAAGGCCCATGGAGATTTTGCGAGTTACCCCAATGGATCCTTCAGAGTTCATCTGAAGGATCAACGAGCAGAGATTCTTACCCTCGCGGATCCTCAGACAGGGACCACGAAGGATCCTTGAGCAGAGACCTTGAGTTCCTGTGAAGGATCCTTGAGCATAGGCGCGAATCCCGTGACACGGTCGAAAGAGTCCTTGTGACAAGACCGCGTGGGTTTCCTGCAAGATCCTAGGACGGAAATCTTTGTGAGTCCGCGGATGGAAAGCTTCTGACTTCCTTACAGAATCTTTGTGTGGAAGAATCCAATGGTTCGATCTTGAACTGCACCGATTTGCTTGATCCATGCCCATATTGCTTGCAGATATTATCAAAACAACACTTTCTTTCATGTTGTGCTACGTACTTGTTCCGATGACTTTCTTCACTCCCTGCACTGTTTCGGGTCTCTTGCCGGAATCATTCTATCATGTGCTGTTCCTGTATCACTATGTCCTTGCAGTTGCATTTTACAGAGCCTATAGGCTTCATGAGATGAAGGCCTGATAAATCACAGCGTATTTTCGCACAAAGTGTCATTTTTGACAGGTTTGTTGGGGTGCTGCACAATGTTCTCGCAAAGGTTGAGCAAAAAGGAGCGTGACCGAGTTCCCTAGAAACTCGAGTCTGACCTAAAACACCAGAGACAGGCCCACTGGCACAATGAATGAATGAACAAACTGTTTCCAGTCTGCTGATGATTTTGATTGTCTGCAACATCTAGGTCCTAGTGATCCTTCGTAGCGACTTCGGCCAATAAAAAATGTATGATGTTTTGGGTAGGGATATTGGCAACATGACTATGGCCGACCCACTGGAGAGCTGAAACTGATCTCCGAAGTTTGCTAGTCCAGCTGTGGAATCCTCTGGAAGCCCCCTGAAGCCTTCAATACGGTTTAGAAAACGGCCCCAAGTTTCCCAGGTTTCCACAAATCCAAGCTCAATGCCACCAAGAGGCATTTCCAGAAACATTTGACCACTGCATACCGTTTCTAGCTTGGAGGCAAAGAATGCAGGGACGCAGCGAATACATCAAAATAATTTGAAACCAAGCCAGAAGGGCACATAGTAGAATTATTGGAGAAAACTCTTCCATGGTCAGAAGAACTGCCGTGCTGATGAAGGCCTGGCCAGAGCAACGCAAAAAACATTGCCAATGGTGAGCATGAACCGTCAGAACTTGCATGCAATACCTACAAGATCCGTTGGGCACATTTTTGCCATCTGCGCCTACTTGTGCCCCTGTAGGATTCCCTGGGCAGAATTACCCGGAATGTCCAACATGTCGAATTTCCTTAGCCCTGTTGGCATTGTTTCTTTGAAAGCATCTCCAACGCATGAAATCTCCCAGAGCTATCAGTTGGTTTGTGGTTGAGAAGGAAATACCAGTGGATTTCGCAAATGAAACCAGCCGTTGACCAGTGTTGAGCAATTTTCTTGGCCTCCGCATCTTTACCCCGAATGTAAGCGGAAAAATCATGAAGTTGGGCGGAAAAATGGAAATAGGAGGAACTGGCGTCAATTAACATTTGGGGCTTGCGGCCTCTTCACCAAAGCTATTCGCAACCAAATTAGAAATCACATCATGCAGGGCGCCTGAAGCATCACAGTCTGGGCACAAATCACGTTCGGCATTATTGGTCGGGGGTCGTTTTTTATTGTGTTCCTTGGCGCGTTCTATTGGGCCGGAAGGTTGGGCACTTTCTTTTGCCTAACTGCCTAGTTGTTTTTCCCCACATCTTTGTGTGGGGCTCTAACTTTTTCCTCAAATCTTTGTGTGGGGTTCTAACTTTTTGTTCGACATCCGCCTCCTCCGTCCTCCGTCCGCCGTCAACTTGTCTCTATCAACTTGTCACTTGTCTCTATCAACTTGTCCCTATCAACTTGTCTCTATCAACTTGTCTCTATCAACTTGTCTTTATCAACTTGTCCCTATCAACTTGTTTCTATCAACTTGTCTCTATCAACTTGGCAGGCGCGGTACTTGGTGACTGTCTGTATAGAGGCCGCTTGACGCCGTTGACGCTGTTGACGCCGTTGACGCCGCGGCTGTTTGCGTACCAGACGCGGCACTTGGTGGCTGTCTGGAGGGCTGCTTGACGCCGTTGACGCCGTCGACAGAGGAGCACTCGGTCTCTTGCGAGCTTCAACTGCAAGCAACGGGTCCATGAACACCCAGGAAGGTTTCTTGGCCGCATTCATCAGCTGTTCCATGTGCCAACACAGTTCATCATCTGACCAACGTGTACCGTTGACGCCGCGGCTCTCTCGCGTGGCAGGCGCGGCACTGGGTGACTCTGTGGAGGGCTGCTTGACGCCGTTGACGCCGCGACTGTCTCGCGTGGCAGGCGCAGCGCTTCATGGTGACTCTCTGGAGGGCTGCTTGTCGCCGTTGACGCCGTTGATGCCCTTGATGGGTGGCAGGCGCAGCACTTGGTGACTTGACGCCGTTGACGCCGCGGCTCTCTCGCGTGGCAGACGCAGCACTTGGTGACTCGCTGGATCGAAAGTTAACCGTGTCTGAACCAGTCTGAACCGTGTCTGAACCGCGTGTGAGCCAGTCTGAACCGTGAACCGTGTCTGAAATCTGAGCCAGTCTGAAGTGTCTGAATCAATTTAAACCGTGTCTGAGCCGTGTCTGAACCAGTCTGAACCGTGTCTGAACCGTGTCTGAACCAGCTTGAACCAGTCTGAACCGTCTCTGAACCAGTCTGAACCGTGTCTGAACCAGTCTGAACCGTGTCTGAACCAGTCTGAACCGTGTCTGACTCAGTCTGAACCAGTCTGAACCGTGCTTGAACCGTGTCTGAACCAGTCTGAAGCGTGTCTGAACCAGTCTGAACCGTGTCTGAACTCAGTCTGAACCGTGTCTGAACCATGTCTGAACCGTGTCTGATCCGTGTCTGAACCAATCTGAGGCGTGTCTGAACCAGTCTGAACCGTATCTGAACCAGTCTGCGGAGCCGCTTGAGTATACGAAGGACACAACGGAGCCAGATACGCATTGTGCATACCAGCAGAGTGTCAAGCCCAGGAGAAACCATGACCGCCAATGTTTCCATCAATCTGGACCCAGACTTCGATGGAGACAGGTAGAGTCATTCGGTGCAATGCAAACCGGATGGGTACCACAGGTGACAGTGTGCGCCAATCAACCAGCAATCAAACCCGCAACTTTGCATCCTTCTTCCAACATGTCGAGGATACCCAGGCTATTCAAGTAGATTCCATAGCTAGTCTGACAGCTGCACTGCAAATCCCCCAAGGACAGGAAGGAAAACCACGGACTTCCACGAAAGCGCTGTGTTCAGACAAATCCCGAAATGACCACGTGGCAAGCCAGAAGGGTGCACGCTGAGGTAGTCATACCTACCCGGGTCCCATGGCAAAGGAGTCATCACTGAAGCCAAAGGCGAGGACTCAAAGGATAATGCGATAATAATGTGACCAACCAGAGGGCACCTCAAATGCGAGACATCACAGGAGCAGCGGCAGCGAACAATCACACCGTGAGAATGCCATGGCTGGTCAAGGAAATTAAAGGACCGGATAACCCGACAAATCAACTTCTTCCAATGATCACAAGCAGATGTGAAAATGAGATGGGAAATGCAGGAAGGAAAGGAGATGGTGCAAGACAGGTTGGGTGAAAGAGCTGTGTGTGGCAGTGTTGTGTGTGCAAGTTCGTGTATGTAAAAGTGTTGTGTGTGAAAGAGTTGTATGTGACAAAGTTGTGTGTAAAAGATTGTGTGTGAAAGAGATGTATGTGACAAAGTTGTGTGTGAAAGAGTTGTGTGTGACAAAGTTGTGTGTGAAAGGCTTGTGTGACAAAGTTGTGTGTGAAAGGGATCTGTGACAAAGTTGTGCGGAAGAGTTGTGTGTGCCACCAGAGCCAGTCCAGTGCCATAAGTGCCACCCCTGCCACGCAAAGTGAAGGTCGATGTTGCCAAGCACCACGGCTTGCCCGCAAAGTGACGGTCCATGTCGCCAAATGCCACGCCTGCCACGCAAACAGCCGCGGCGCCCAGGGCGTCAACTGGGAACCAAGCGCGCAACCAGAGCCAGCCCAGTGCCGTAAGTGCCACGCCTGCCACGCAAAGTGACGGTCCATGTCGCCAAGTGCCACGCCTGCCACGCAAAGAGGCGCTGCGCCCACGGCGTCAACTTGGACCCAAGCGCGCCACCAGAGCCAGCCCAGTGCCGTAAAGGCCACGCCTGCCACGCAAAGTGGAAGTCGATGTCGCCAAGCGCCACGGCTGCCACGCAAAGTGAAGGTCGATGTCGCCACCTGCCACGCAAACAACCGCGGCGCCCACGGCGTCAACTGGGACCCAAGTGCGGCACCAGAGCCAGCCCAGTGCCGTAAGTGCCACGCCTGCCACCCAAAGTAAGTTGTGTGTGAGCATGTGCGGACAAGTTGCGGACAAGTTGTGTGTGAGTAAGTTGTGTGTGAGCAAGTTGTCTGTGTGGACAAGTTGTGTGGTGACAAGTTGTGTGTGAGTAAGTTGTGCGTGGACAAGTTGGTGAAAAGTTGTGTGGTGAAAAGTTGTACGGGAGTAAGTTGTGTGTGGACAAGTTGTGTGTGAGGAAGTTGTGTGGTGACAGGTTGTGTGGGAGTAAGTTGTGTGTGGGGGTAAGTTGTGTGTGGACAAGTTGTATGTGAGCAAGTTGTGTGTGGACAAGTTGTGTGTGAGTCAGTTGTGTGTGGACAAGTTGTGTGGTGACAAGTTGTGTGGTGACAAGTTGTGTGGGAGCAAGTTGCGTGTGGACAAGGTGTGTGTGAGTAAGTTGTGTGTGAGCAAGTTGTGTGGTGACAAGTTGTGTGGTGAAAAGTTGTGTGGGAGTAAGTTGTGTGTGGACAAGTTGTGTGTGAGCAAGTTGTGTGGTGACAAGTTGTGTGGTGAAAAGTTGTGTGGGAGTAAGTTGTGTGTGGACAAGTTGTGTGTGAGGAAGTTGTGTGGTGACAGGTTGTGTGGGAGTAAGTTGTGTGGGAGTAAGTTGTGTGTGGGCAAGTTGTATGTGAGTAAGTTCTATGTGGACAGGCGGCGGGCGGGGGCGGGAGCGGGCAGGCGGGTTTGCACAAGCAAAAACAAGAACCCCACACAAAGATGGCAACTGTGGCAAGACGAACACGAGAAAGAGGTACCTGCCAGCGACACGTCGGTGCGAAACAAGCAGAAATGTTATCCATGCAACAACTTCAAATATAAAGCACACAATCGTCACTGTCCGTGCCTGCATTGAAGAAGCAGCCGGCTCAGAATGTGGCTGGTATGATGTAATCATGTTCTATTTCCTATCCTTTCACTTCTCCACACGGCGTGTCAGAGCTTCCGGAAGGAGACTCCGTACCTAATGGTGATGTGATGTTTGGTGGCTCTGGTGTCATTGTTGTCTGACTTCGGGACATGTGAACCTAATTATGATGTGATGTGTGGTGGCTGTGGTGTCATTGCTGTATGACTTCGTGACATGTGGCAATTCGGTCCCACAGCTAACGTAGAGCCCCAAAGAGATTGAAGCCGCCAGCAGCCATGCTCCAAGGCAACAAATCACCACAGATATCAAATGAGCAAAACACTGCTCAAGCGGCCAGCACTGAAGTTGCAGTGATGTCACCACACACAATCATCACTGTCCGTGCCTGCATTGATGAAGCAGCCGGCACCACAGATGACACAGGTATCAAATAAGCAAAACACTGCTCAAGCAGCCAGCACTGAAGTTGCAGTGATGTCACCGCACACAATCATCACTGTCTGTGCCTGCAGTGAAGAAGCAGCCGGCTCAGAATGCTGCTGTTGTCTGACTTCGTGACATGTGGACACCAGAGCCAGCCCAGTGCCATAAGTGCCACACCGGCCACGCAGATTGCACGTCCATGTCGCCAAATGCCACGCCTGCCTTGCAAAGTGAAGGTCGATGTCGGCAAGTGCCACGCCTGCCACGCAAAGAGCCGCGGCCACGCCTGCCACGCAAAGAGGCGCGGCGACAACGGCATCAACTGGGAACCAAGCGCGCCACCAAAGCCAGTCCAGCCACGCCTGCCAGGCAAAGTAGAGGGTCGATGTCGCCAAGTGCCACGCCCGGCGCGCAAAGCGGACGGTCCATGTCGCCAAGTGCCACGCCTGCCATGCCAACAGCCGCGGCGACAACGGCGTCAACTGGGAACCAAGCGCGCCACCAAAGCCAGTCCAGTGCCACGTGTGAGCAAGCTCCACGCCTGCCACGCAAAGCGGAAGCAGATGTCGCCAAGTGCCACGCCTGCCACGCAAAGAGCCGCGGCGACAACGGCGTCAACTGGGAACCAAGCGCGCCACCAGAGCCAGTCCAGTGCCATAAGTTCCAAGCCTGCCATGCAAAGTGGAGGGTCGATGTCGCCAAGTGCCACACCTGCCACGCAAAGTGGAGGTCAATGTCGCCAAGTGCCACGCCTGCCGCGCAAAGCAGAGGCAGCTGTCGCCAAGTGCCACGCCTGCCACGCCAACAGCTGCGGCGACAACGTGAGCAACTGGTGTGTGGACAAGGTGTGTGTGAGTAAGTTGTGTGGTGACAAGTTGTGTGTGAGTAAGTTGTGTGGCGACAAGTTGTGTCTGAGTAAGTTGTGTGGTGACAAGTTGTGTGTGGACAAGTTGTGTGTGAGTAAGTTGTGTGTGGACAGGTTGTGTGTGAGTAGGTTGTGTGTGGACAAGTTGTGTGTGTGTGTGAGTAAGTTGTGTGTGGACAAGGTGTGTGTGAGTAAGTTGTGTGGTGACAAGTTGTGTGTGAGTAAGTTGTGTGGCGACAAGTTGTGTGGTGACAAGTTGTGTGTGGACAAGTTGTGTGTGAGTAAGTTGTGTGTGGACAAGTTGTGTGTGAGTGAGAGGCGGTGTGAGTGAGAGGCGGCGGGCGGGAGCGGAGAGGCGGGAGTGCACAACCAAAAACAAGAACCCCACACAAAGATGTGGGGAAAAAGGGATGAAGAACAAGTACTTGAGCCAAAATGGCACGAGCAAACGAAATAGAAGATTTCCGGTTTTATTAGTTTGGAACACCCCTGAGCAAGTACAGGAACCGAACCAGTCTGAACCAGTCTGAACGGTGAACCGTGTCTGAACCAGTCTGAACCGTGTCTGAACCAGTCTGCACTCTGAACCGTCTGAAGCAGTCGTCTGAACCGTGTCTGAACCAGTCTGAACCGTGTCTGAGCCAGTCAACCGTGTCTGAACGAGTCTGAACCGTGTCTGAACCGTGTCCAATCTAAACTGCTGAACCGGCCGTGTCTCAACCAGTCTGAACCAATCTGAACCGTGTCTGAACCAGTCTGAACCGTGTCTGAACCAGTCTGAACTGTGTCTGATACGTGTCTGAACCGTGTCTGAACCAGTCTGAACCAGTTTGAACCGTGTCCAAACCTCAGTTTGAACCAGTCTGAACCGTGTCTGAACGAGTCTGAACCGTGTCTGAACCAGTCTGAAAACCATGTCTGAACCGTGTCTGAACCAGAGTCTGAACCAGCCTGAACCGTGTCTGAACCAGTTTGAACCGTGTCTGAACCAGTCTGAACCGTCGTGTCTGAACCGTGTGTGAAGCGTGTCGGAACAAGTAACCGTGTCTGAGTGTCTGAACAGTCTGAACCCTTTCTGAACCGTGTCTGAGTATGGGGGGTACCTTAGGTACCCCCCACCCTCCAGACCCCCCCGATTATTTTTTTATTAAGCCACTATTCCTGCAGATAAATTTCAGAAATTAATCTAGTAGCTGGTTTACGTCTTGGATTATTTTAGGTATATACCAAAAAATCAACGCAGTCTGTCACATGCTCACCTGGCATCGTGTCTGCATAATTCTGCACATGCCTGCACAAACCAAATTGTGCCAAGCTGATGCGAAAACAGCACAATGATTGTCTGGGTATCTTGGTAATCTTTTGTATGGATTTGTTCGTATTTGTCCGCATGCCATCCACGCTCATTTCAATGCATCCATCTTTTTCGTCCTCATTACCATCATTTACTATTTATCTACCATCATCTATATACCGTCATCTATCTAACATCATCTATCTACCATCATCTATCTACCTTTTTCTATCTACCTCTCTATCTCTCTATCTCTCTATCTATCTGTCTGTCTATCTATCTATCGATCTACCTATCTATCTATCTATCTACCTACCTACCTATCTATCTATCTATCTATCTACCTTTCTATCTATCCATCTATCTATCTATCTACCTGCCATTACCTATCTACCTATCTACCACCTGTGAAAAATTAGTCCAAGGGTCTCTGACCCCCCGACCACCCATGGATTAATTGAGGGCCCACTTCCCCATGCCATGGCACTGCACATCGCTGCACCAAAGCAAGAACAGTCTCATCTCATCTCATCTCATCGGCACCATTCCCTCCAAGCTGTCATCCTCTGCACATGCTTCTTCACCCAATGTCTGCAACCTGTGGAAATTAATCCAAGGGTCTCTGACCTCCAGACCACCGATGGATTATTTGAGCACCCATCTCCCCATGCGATGGGTTCAAAGACCCTTGGATTAATTTCCACTAGTTGCAGACATTGTGTGAACAAGCGTCCGCAGACAGGTGCAAAGCCTTGAAAGCCAGGATGATGAATGGTGCTGAAATAGCAGTTTTGCACTGGGCCGGGCTAGACAGGAAAATGTCCTTGCTTCGGTGCAGTGGTGTCCAATGTTAGCATGGGCAAGTGGGTCCATGTGGGCTCTCAAACTAATCCATGGGTGGTGTGGGGGTCAAAAACCTTTGATTTAATTTCCACAGGTTGCAAACATTGGCTGAACAAGCATGCGGAGACAGGTGCTAAGCCTTGAAAGCTAGGATGAGGGCTTGGAGGGGCGCTGAAGAAACCAGGCCACTCATGGATGATTTGAGCACCCAACTCCCCAGCACATCACCGCACCAATCCAAGAACATGTTCCTCTCTAGCCCACTGCAAAACTGCTATTCCACTGCGCATTTTGAATGGTTTTTGTTCTCACATCTTTGTCGGGTTTTGTTGGTTTCAACGGAGCATCAACCTTTTCCTAAGTAGGTGATAGTAGGTGGTTGTTCATGGTTGTTCCTTTACTTAAAAGCTCTTTTACAAAAATAATCCTGGTCTAGACCCTAGTTCTATGTTCTAGACCCCCAAGAAAAATAATCCAAGATAATTAATCCAAAAAAAAATCCATGAACTCACGGTACCCTAGGATTAATTTACACAAGGGACCCCCCATGTCTGAGTGTCTGAGATAGTCAACCGTGTCTGAGGGAGTCTGAACCGTGTCTGAACCGTGTCAGAACCGAGTCTGAATCGTGTCTGCTGTCTGCTGTCTGCCTATCTACCTACCTACCTACCTACCTACCTATCTATCTATCTATCGATCTATCGATCTATCGATCTATCGATCTATCGATCTATCGATCTCTCGATCTCTCGATCTCTCGATCTCTCGATCTCTCGATCTCTCGATCTCTCGATCTCTCGATCTCTCGATCTCTCGATCTCTCGATCTCTCCATCCATCCATCCATCCATCCATCCATCCATCCACCTACTTCTTTCCCATCCAATCATCATCTGCTCCCACCATCCCAAGTCATCACCTTCGTCTCACAACAATCGGAAGGCTTAACATGTGGGGTTATCTGGTCCTTTAATTCATTCAGGTGTTTTTTGTTTCCCTCGGAATGCGGTTGTCTCAAGTCCACATGGCCCCAACAGAGGCCCAACATAAGCCTGAGGCTTAATTAACGTCCCCACAGGGTCAATAAGAGCTCCATGACGGTGGTATTTGCCGAATATTGTCCAAATTTGCCCAACACAGGCTTCACGTGGGGCTCAACGTAGTTTCAAACAGGAACAAAATAACGTCAACGTGGTTCCGAGAATGCAACAACCCCAAAGTAAGCAGAGTATGAATTCACAAAGAGCCGGCAAGTCAAAATCTTCAGAAACTTTCATTGCTGAAGGGGGTACAGTACCCACTTTAAAGGAGGTATATGGTAGAGCCAGAGCCCCGTTTTTGCGGCGCGGGCAGTTGTTATAGCGCAGCGGCCTGAAAGATTTTATCAGAAAATAGAAACATCATCAGAAATTGTCAGAACAGATTAGACATTAAAAAACTGGTAAACCCTGTGAAGCCAGGCCTGTGGTATCTGCTCGTAGATCATGGAAACTTGTCGCGCATTTGACGTGGCGTTGCCTGCGCGATTCAAAACGAAGTCTCTGAAGCTCCAAATTTAACCTTGGTCGACCTTGGCCACTTTATGCATCTTTATGCCACTTTCACCTTTTGAGTGGCTAGAATACGCTGTGGTGTGCAAGCTCTTCGAAGTTTTCACGAAATTAAAGATGCGGAATTCACTCAGCGCCTGCTATGCAGAGGCACTCACTGAGGGCCTTGTCAGAATAATGGCGGAGTTGCGACTCCAGCCACTGACAACAGCTATTTTCAGCAGCAGGACCATCCTTACAGCAATCAAGTCAAACAGAGTAAGGATCAGCCGTTCCACCGTTGCCTGAAAATTTTGCGCGCCATGGTCAAAACCTGGGAAATGGAATAAAATGTGTGATCCAAACCACAACGTGAATCGCTATATTGAATATGTAAGCTCCTCTTTCTGGAATCATAACCATCCTCCCAAAGGGGTATGCGATCCAACTCTTGGACATGCGGATCCGAAGCATCCACTCTCCATGACCCCAAGCACTGGTGGCGGGTGTCACGAAGCTGAGACTGAACTGAAGCTAGCAATGGTATGCACAGGTGAAATCCTAATTAATGCCGTTGTTTTCGCAGTTTTTTCATCAGCTGTGAATGTGGAAACGAATTTGAGGTGTAAGTTCATCGATCTGTGTGAAGTGAATGTTGGGTTGAAGATTCTTGATGCAAACAACGTTGTGAAGTGCAGCTGACCCCTGCAATGATTGAACATAATGCTGTACCGCAGCAATCGTTTCACTTTGTGTTGGAATAATGGGTCTGTGTGGCACTCCAGCCACCGGACTGACGTGGCCCAACGTCTGGAGAGGCTTGCATTTGGATCCTTTGAATTCTGGAAAAACACTTGTTTTTCAATCGCCTGAAGGTTCTGAAGAAGATTACGGAAATTGAGAATCTGCAGAGATGCAGCTCTATTTGTCTTTGGCAAGAGTAATGCCTCAGGACTTTGGTAGGAGATATACACTGACTTTGCTCCACAGCCTTCTGATCGCATTGGCATGTTGAAACCTGTCGTAATGTACAAGTTGAAAATAAACTCCAAACCAGCTCATGCCCCAATCGTTCGTGTCACTCGCCATAGTCCGCTGGCCCTTGTAGTTGTTTTGCCCACAAAAATAGTGCTTTACCCAAGTTTGCACCTTGTGGACACATCTGAAATAGGTCGTCAGGCAAGTCTGTTGTTGGCAACGATTGATCATTTTGTGGACAAAAATCACGCATCATGACAAATGCTTCCTGTCCCATTGCCTCAGAGTCAAAGTTGCTCAAGATTCGTGCAGGCGGTTTCTTGGGCTGATCCAGATTGCGATTGTGGTTGGCATTGTCTTTTTCCATGGCCGCACATGCTTGAACTCGCGCTTTGTTGAAGTGTGCCATGTATTGAAAAACCTTTGTAAGCCTATGTCCTTCCGCCTCTTGAAAGGTGGCAGTGGCATTGGATACCTTCTTCAAAGTATCAGGTATGGTTTGTAACACTATGCCAGCTGCAAGATCTGCGCAATGGTTGCCTGCGATCTTCCATAGGTCTTCTAAATCCTTGGCAGTATCCAGTTGCCTATGGCTTTTCACCTTTTTCACTCTGAATCTTTGCACATCCCAAACTGCAGACAGTTCCAGGATAGTGTCTGAGTTGGGTAATCTGTGAAGTATGCCATGAAATGTTCTATTCGTGATCATGCCGATTACTGCACAAACGTAAGCGGCATCTGAGACGAACTCCACAATGGTGGCTCCACTATTCTTGCATGCAGTTTTGGCTGCTGTCAGGATGGCTGTCAGCTCCCCCTTGCAGCTGTCTGCTGACCCCTAACCAAACATAAAGCAACCACTTGGACAAGAGGAAAGGACGGTTTGGGTGATTGCAAAAAAATCAGCGACTTTCCTCTGATGGCGCTCGCTTTGGGAAATGTCTTCAACCACTGACCATGAAGCGATCCTTGCATGTGGGCATGTTGGATTTGATGCTCCCCCATCCGTGAAAAATCTCATGGCGACCGCATCCTTCGTTTTTGGTTCAGGAATATGTGCATCTCTGATCCCTTCCAAAAATTGATGAAACAGAAAAACCTTGTCATGCAGTCTGGGCAATGGAAGGTAAACCCATTCTTCTCTTTTGTTTCCCCGGATTTCGCACGCTTCAACATGCTGATCTGTTGGAAGAACTTGCATTCCAGCAATCTGTGGAATCCCGTATCTGCCAGCCCACAAAAAATGCAGTTGCCCTCCGTCTCCTCACTCCAATTCGCTTTGCGTTTTTCCGTCTGAAAGCCCCCAACAACCTTCAATTTCAGCAGTTGTTGTTCCTCCTCGGTGAGTTTCGCAAAAGCAAATGCTCCCAATCGGGTGTCAATGTAAAAACTGCCAATGCCCTTGCGATCGGAAATCTGTACAATGTGTAAGGCCCAAAGTTGACGGAAAACCATTGCACCTTGTGGAATCTGTCAAAATATTACAATGCAAATTTTCCGGCCCTGAAGCTGTCCCATCATTTTGAATGCTGTTGCAGGTCCAAAAGGTCTAGATCCTTGATACCCTGCAGCCACACGAATTGTTTGTAAAGCTTCTTCCTTCTGCAGATGGGCAAAGCATCGAATTGGGCGAGCGCAGAGACTGAGTGTGTACAAAAGGGGGTCGCAAATATGTTTTGAAAGCATGCTGCATGCCAAATACGGATGGGATGTATGCCAATACCCTACCAAAGCATGGAGCGCACCCCGACGAAGATTCTGAAAATGTTGCTGTCAAATATATGTTGTATCCGATGTATACAGAGCCAATGGCCAGCAAGCAGACTGTACGATCATCGCTTTCCCTTGCAGGGTGGCGGGAATCCATTCCACTCTTTTGATCCTGTTTGCAGCTTCTGTGATCTTTTCCTTGATGAAGCCCGATGAGCATGATTTATCATAGTGAACCATCTCACCAAGATCTTTCGTCTGAGTCTTCACCGTTATTGTTTCATACTCAGTGCGTTCCTCATGGAAATCTTGGCAAGCTTGACGAAACTGTTTGTTTAACGCCCAATGCCAACTGCATTTCTTTGAATGCCGCAAAATGCGCTTTCTGTTCTGTCGCAAGCCAACTCCAGTTGTCTGCATACGTATATGGTTGGGTCTTTGGTGTGGCAAGCCTGCAATAAAAACAACGTGATGTCGCAAGCATTGCCAAAACGCTGATTGAGCAACCCTCCGGGACACCTGCTGTACTGGACATGTTGGTCAAGCGTAGGAAAACGAATCATCAAACTCAGACTCCTGATCCAAGAGTCCACCACAACTACAGCAAAACGTCCAAAAGTGTTGAATGCCTTGATGAGATCCATCGTCAATCCTCCACAGGTCTGTTTCTGGCTCAATGCATCCTCAATTTTTCGTTTCTGTGGGTAGGCGATTTCTTTCACGCCTCTTCCCGGGAGTCCCCCGGAGATCTGAATGGGGAAAAACTGCTTCCAAACATTGGCAGTCACCTGGAGAATGACTTTGCTGTAAAGACGATACAAGCTACTGGGTATTGTGACCGGTCTGACATGATGCATGGAAGTTCGAACTGCAATCTTTGAAAGTAAAACGGTTTTCGCCATCATCATACCTTGTCCAAATCCATGCTTGGACACAGCCGGGAAAAATTTGGCAAGGTCAATGATACAGACCCGCGGAAGGCACTTCAGTTCGTCACCGGCCCATTCGCACGGTCCGACAGCTTTCCCGCTTTGTATTTTCGGATATTTTTCATCATACGATCTGTATCAAAAAATCCAATGTGATCTGTGGGATTGCCGGTAGAATGCAACTGTCCAGCTCATGTAAAAAAACCTTGCCAGGTGCCATCATCAAACTGTTCCTTTGGTCCATCTTTTGCCAGAAGGTCTGCAAAATCTTGAAAAGTATTCTGTAATTTCTGTCGGTGTCGGAGCCATGTACTGTATACGCATTGACCCTTGTGAAGCAACGCTACCCTCAAGAACCTTGAAGAAAACACGCCTCCCTTGTTGTGAAGTAATTTCGATTCGCGCTTCGCCCAAAATACTCGAGCATGTCTGGGAATAGCAAACTTCTTCATCAATGCGTGCACCCGACTTTCTGTCATGGCAACGTAGTATGCAATTTGACAATCGACCGGAACCTCATTGAAGGCCAGGTTTTCCTTTGATTTGACAATCTTGTGACTTGTGAGTCATTCGACTGAAGTTGTGCTCTTGATCAATCTTCATCTTGCACTAATGCCTCTGCCCTCTGTCGCGACTCTTCCATACACGTGTGATTGCAATCCAGCTGCGTGATCTGTGTGACGAGATCCAGCGTCCCCACTGTAGGTAATTGCATGTTCAGGTAAGGCACAGCCTCAAAAGAAAGAATCCAGTTCTGCCAACAATGACCATAACCCTTAGCCAGCCTGATCTTCTTCCATTCCAAGAAAGCATCAGAAAGATTCTTCAAATTCTGCCATGGGGGCTGTCACTCAAATGCTGTGGCAGAGATTTCAATCGCCGGTCAAGAGACTGAAACCTCCGCACCTGTCGTTTTTTGAGCCGTGACTGAAGACTGAAGATTTCCGAAGGTGGTGAATAAGCACCATGCCGATCAGATTTCACCGGTGTGTTACTTGTAACAGTTTTCGGTTTCAGCAACTTGCACCGTCCCTTGTAAGACACAGGTAAACCATCCTGCTGAAATCTCAGCGGATCATCTTTGTGTAAAAAACTGAATGACCTGTCCACAGCGGTCCCCACGTGTTCAGACCAAATCCTGAAAGCGGACTGAATGCCTTCATCCTGATCAAGGCCATCCGCACGCCAAAGGTTGGAAAAATCAACAGGTTCATAAAAATAATGGATGATGGTGCAAACGGTGCCCAATTCTTGGGAGGTTGCCATTTTGCAGTATGTTGATTCTTAGGATCAACAAGAAACTCAATCATGAAGGGTGTGTGAATGTCAAACTTATGGTTGGAAAGAACGCTCATGGACTGAATGGAAGTTATCAATCTTGGATGTATGATTACAGTGTCATTCCTGGTTGAGCCGGCACAAGTCGGAGGAAGCTTCGATCCAAATTTGGATTCAAACCATTGAAATGCCTCGACCGCACCTAAATGATTGAAATACTGGAAACTCATCAACTTTGTAGGAGGTTCATTGAAGTCCCTACAAATTAAGAATGGTAATCCCACTTGTTCTACAAAGGCCGCAATGCTAGCAAGAAGTAAATCATTCGGTCGTTTGCCTTCCATGTAACGTGTTGCAAAGCCATAAATAGCAACGACTAAAACCTCCATGTTACCAAAACTGATGACACATGAGGTAAATCTTTGCGACTCAGCGCGGGAATGTACCTAATGCCTCTCCGCGATAGCTTGGGCGACTGTCACAAGTGTTCTTCTTTGGAGTGACTGGTGGACACCAGAAGGACCTATATTTGTAGGATTTCATGTCATGTGTGAATTCTTTTTGAATGACATTTGTTGCACCGGTTTCGGATGTGGCGATAACATCAGCATTCACTTTGAGCAGCCTACTAACTTTTTTGTGCAAGGCCGTGGGATTGGCAATTGCAAGCTTCAAGATTTGCGACTCAGGACCCGGATTGGACACTTGTCCCACACAGATAGCAAAAAACATGGAAAATAGTTCATCAAATAGTGGGCATAAAATTGCAATGTGACACAATAACAACATGTGAGAATCTCTCCAGGCGCCGAGCGTACTTCTATGGCACAAGTCAAGATGAAGCTCGTATGTGCCAAGTGAGACTGCTGTTCTGTTGCAAGACCAAAATGGTCTGACATGTGCCCGCACCAGCAGTCTGCAAGATCATGGGTCAGTGGCGGGTATCGCATTGAATTAAATTTGAAGTAGAAGAGGGGGCATCTGTCGGCAATGAAAAAAGAAAGATATCTCACGGTCGCAAGAACATCTAGTCACAGCTTGGCATCTGCATCCTCAGAATCATCTGGGTTCCCCCCTGAGGTGGAGAGAGCTTGGGTCCTCGGTTCAGCATCAATTGCTTGAGTTCATTGAACTGATTGTACATCTGATGGTCATGCTGTTGTAACGCCTTCTACAAACTGTCCTGAAAAGTCGTTGAGAGAGTCTGGAGGTGACTCTGTGTCTCAGACCTGACTGCTCTGAACTCGGCGTTTGTCATCTCCAAATTGTATTGTACCTGCTGTTGCTGCGCAGTAATTGTCCTCTCCAGTTTTGCGATGTCACTTCGAAGGGCCTTTGTATCTTTCTCACCTTTTTCACGCAACTCCTGAACTGCTGTCTGATGCTGCGTGAAGCGATCCTCAATGGGCGCCTCAAGCCTCCTTGGTGGTTGAGTCACCACTGGTGCTGTGACTGATCGAGAGTGATTTGCTGACTGAGCCATGCCAGTACCTCCCCTATTGTCAATCCAAGACTTCCAGGGATCTTCAGAGAGAACACCACCAATGGCATCAGTTTCCTGTGACTTCATGTTCTTGGTTGGGATTCCTTGCTGAAGTTTCCCTTCCAGGATCACAGGATCTTTGCCCTTTTATTGGTTGATCCAACGAATCAAAACTGAAGATTCATTCCACTGCACGAAAGTGTCATCAAATCTGTTCTCTGCACCGCAAAGCCATACCGTACTGGAAAGTGCTCTGATCGGTTTAAAACCTTGAACTCCAATCCATGCTTGTATCTGCTCAAAATTTGTCCCGTTGGCGTAGGGGCTACCTTGAATGGAAAATTTGGTTTCAAGATTGCATACGCTGCGGCAGTGTCTTGCTTCACAAAGCGAATACCTCTGTTCCTCCCGTCGCTTTTCTGTCCACCAACAGTGCCACAATGACTGTCACATCTTGACAAAGACACTGCAAGTTCCACCTGCAACTGCTGCAACCAAACCACTTGAAAATCAGGGAGAACTTGCCTGTCCTCTGACTTTGGAGTTGTGTAAACTCCTGACGTGCCTGAGGCTCTCAGTCTCAATAGCATCCTGAGATCTGACTTCAGCACTCTGGCGTGGAATTGGATGGATGTAGAATTCTTTGGTTCGACCCTTTTGCCGGCTTTGTGATAGGATCTACCCCACGGAGAAGACAAGAAATTCAAATCGGCCTGATCTGGCAGCAAAATCCTCATGGTGTTCTTGACTGGGGCTTGCAGGATCAAAGACCAAGTGTCACTGTCAATCTCATCTGCATAGGCCGTGAAGGAGACCACATGAGAGTCTGTAGCTGGGATTGTTTCCAGCTCTGTCTGTGGCATGCCCGCATCCTTCGCTCCAAGGTTGAACAGGATCGCCTGGAGTATGAGAGGCTCCTCATTGTAGAGAACTGGAGCTTGAAGTTTCTGTCCATCAAATCCATCACAGAGGCCTTTGCCACCAATCACAAGCAGTGCCAACTCGTCCTGGCTAATAAATGCCCCCTTTTGCAATCAAGGCAGTGCCTGTTCTTCCGACATGAGAACGATCCCTGTTGCGTTTGATGATAACTTCGGGATTTGGCAACAGGCCGTTCCGTCTGCGTTGCAACAAACCCCGGCTGAAGCGTGAGTGCTTCCACTGGGATGTCCTGTGGACACCAGGTCCGGCGCCATGTACCTTCCTTCTATGAATTTCACACATCGCTGTATGCCTGCTCCCTGAGAAATGAGAAAGGTGGCCAAAGCATTGCGCTGCTGAGTGCTGTAACCCTGTGCATTGTTCGGAGCTCTGTCGACATACCCCCCCTCCATGGACCAACCATGAAATTGAATGTCGCCACTGTCTGATTGTTTTCAATGCATCTGGTGTAATACCTCAGTGGATAGTCTGGATTGATGTAGCCTTTTGGCCCAGCCAATCGAATTGGTACCATGTCACACACCACTGTCGATGACTGTTCCCAAATGTGAATGAAATCCTGCATGTGTGTTTTCCGGTCATGGAAAATTGTAGTTCCCCAGAGCTTGATCTTTGTCAACACGCTTGAATCGCTGGCTTTGACTGGACGAGGCGTACCAATACGTGCCAAAGACGATCTGAGAACTGCACGCACAAACTCTGCTGATACTGCAGTAGCCAGTGGTTTGCGGAAGAGAATAATATCTGCTCTGATTGGGTCATAGATACTGAAAAAATGACATGTGATCATCCAACCACACTCCGTCAATGCCTTCTCAATACCTGTTTCCCTCAACATCTCCAAACGCTGCCTCAATGTCTGAAATCGACCTTTGATGACATAGTACCCTTCTTCGGCTTTGGCTTCCAAATCCAAAAAGTTTGTGATGTCGCACCAGGAAATTGTGCCTCTGTGATCCACCATCTTCAATAACACATGACCCAATTCTGCAGTGAAACTGGCTTTCTCAAACTCAGCCAAGTTGTTGAGATTACCGTCATCGGAGACCTGTTCACTGTTCTTGAGCTTGACTGGACCTCCTCCTTTCAACCCAATCTGCATGTAAACCGTGCCTTCCGAATCTTCCTCTGCAAAACCTCTCAGAGGCCATTGTGGATTCAAGCTTCTGCCCTGACCTACAAAACGCCACGGCTTGTCAAGGTCAAACATCGCACAAATGGGATCCCACTCTTCACTAAAGTGAGCCATTGTGATATCCTTTCCTGCCATAGCATCCCACACCCAAACATGCCAGAGCTTGATGCGGCACCTGGTGGATGGGTCCGATCCTGCACTGTTCCAGGTTTTGATCTTGCAAAGAAAAAGGTAGATTGCGACACTGAACACTGTTCGTACACAGCGCAAGTGCTGATGGCTTCCGCATCATCAGAATCTTCTCTGTCCTTACTTGAATGAAGCTTTCTGCATCTGTGACGAATGCCCACCCCCAAAGCAGGCAACATCTTCTGCAGCCCGGTGTCCTGAAGAAAATCCGCAAATTCCTTCAGTGCCTCATGTGAAGAAGTGAAGCTGATGATCCCATCTTGGACCTTTGGCTTGACGTAGTCCAGCACTTGAAGATTGTCTGCAGCTTTGGGGCATAGCGTTTCTTCTTGATGTTTCTCACCTAGCATGCCAACCAGGTGGGTGCACCTGAAGCCGATGTGATGGTTGAGAGTGGTAAAGGCATCAGACGCTGTCATGCCCTGATCCCTTCGCAACACAAAGATCCCCCTTGCGGTGAGGACTGCGATACATGAAGCATTGTGTGAACCCAATGCAAAAAGCTGTGATCCTGTACCAACCACTGCAGGCACTGCTGCAAAGAGAGAAATCTCCTGATCTGATACCTCAAAATTTGCCGGAAATGTCGCTTTGGCCTCGAGAAGCCCCGCAGGCAACAGAAATACCTCATTGGGAAGTGAGTGGCCTGTGAGAGTCTTGAGCGCATTCCAAACCAAAATCTTTCTCTCAGCAAAGAAGGTGAAGCGGTCTGTTGGGGAAAAAACTGTCACTTTCTGATAGGAGTGCATCGATTGTGCTGGCTGGCATTCTTCGTGAATGAAAATCCCACATCTTGCTTCCCACTGGAGATTCTGGGAAGTGAACCGCTTTGTCATGACTTAAAAAGTTCCTGCATTTTCCACACCTTTCATACCGGACAAAAAGGCTATGGAGTTCAGCACCCCGATCATAGCCTGGGGTAGTGTGATGGCATTTCCAAGAAGCTTGGTGGCTGACTTCTGATCAGAGGGTAGCCACAACGGCATGAGTGCTGAGTGGGAAATGGCGATCTCTGGAATCGACAAAAACCGAAGTCCACTGGCTTGTGCCAACAGTGCGCCATAAAGCCCAAAGTGTCGTAGATTCTGATCAGGCAACTCATGTCCACTTCCATACGATGATATGATGCATCCAAAAAATCGTTGCACATGCCGTATTCGATAGTTTCCACATCCTTCCTTGATTTCTTGGGTGCCTTGCTGCTTTCATCCCCTGATTTGGGCAAAAGTGCAGGATCCATGTACATCTGCAGGACTGATGGTTCAATGGTGCATGACATCGAGAAAAGTCTCCATTGTTTGATGTTGTGTTGCAGGCCAAGACTGACAAATATGCGGCTGTAACTCCTCGGAGTCTAATGTTGCCACAATGATCAATCTCTCTCTCTCTCTCTGTGTTGGGGTGTATGTATACTCTGCAAGGTTGAGCACTGGCGCAAAGCGAATGCTGTATCCTGCCCATTGTACCACCATCTTCACAATAGACCAGTGTTCATGCCTGCGCATACTTCCTATAGCACACAGTTCGAGGTCTGATCAGCTGCGTCCTCATGTTTTGACAGGCCTGGACACACTGTCGCACTGTCGCCTTTGACCAAGGTGGACATGGTGGGGACATGAGTGCCATGTCAAACAACTCATTGGTGAGGAGATGATACCACCGTGGGTCCACAATGTCACCTTCCACAAACAGGCGACCAGGCAAGATGTCACTGTCCCAATTCATAGATTCCGGTCCCACAAGCTCCTAAAAGCCATGGGATCGACAAAAATGCTTCTGAACATAAACATGCCCAAGTTCTGTCAATTGCCTGAGAAAACATGAGACCACGCACTGAAGCCACCTGCGAAAAGCTCAAAAGTCGTGCAAATTGCATGATCAGGATTCTCAATCCGTGTCTCTGGTGAACAAATCACGCCTGAGCTGTTTCCCGTGGTATCTACCATGCCATCTTGTAATACCGCATGCACGGCAATGAATCTCTCATTTTTTGAGACCACATGAGCCCACTGATTCATGGAAACTTTGATTCTCAAGCAGTCATCCAAGTCACGGGGGCATCTTTCCCAAAGCGAAATCCCTGCCACCGAACCCTTCTCGACAACTGACACCATCCTTTTTGATTCTTCCACCCATGATGGCATACTCATTGGACATGACATGAACCTGTCTCTGCTCAATCTCCGCTGTAAAAGTTTTGGAACAAGGGCATACTTGATTCACACATGAGAATGACTTGGCAACTTCCCAAGCTTCCAAAAAAGGCACGCGACCTAATGACATGGCTCAGTTGGTTCTAGACCCTGTAGTCTAATTTCCAGCATTACCACTTGGCGGTCTGAGCCCAAATGCTATCCAACTCTTGACCATGGCACGCATGTGATGTTCCTCAAATGGATCCAGATGGCAGTCAGTGATTGACAAGTGTTCTATCAGTCAAGTTCTATGAATATGATGAATGAGACAACTTTTGCTAAGATTAGTCAACTGAGCTCAATCGTTGATCCCATGTTCCAAGGTGATGGGCCTGAAGCCCACACTGCCCGTCCTGAGTTCCAGCCAAGCAGCATTGTCTGATGTTTCTGCCAAGGTGTAGGAGCTGCAGGTGGCAAGAAGGCTATATGCGTACGCCTGTGGCAAAGGCTTCTCAAAGGATCAGAAAAGAACAAGCAACAAGCAGTGGTCAGCAGGAATTGGTCAACAGAGAGGAGTGGTCAACAGCAAGCACTGGTCAACAATGGGAAATAGGCAACAACAGCAAGCAGTGGTCAACAGCAGGTAGTGGAGGTAGTGTTCAGCAAACAGCAGTCAAGAGCAACCAGTGGTCAACTTCAAGCAGTGTTCAACAGCAGGTATCGGCCAACGGCAGAGATAAGTCAACAGCACGCAGTGGTCAAGAGCAGAACAGCAGGACATGGTCAACAGCAAGCAACGGTCACCAGCAGCTTGTGGGCAACAGCTAGCAGGGGTCAACAGCGTGCAGTGGGCGACAGGAAGCAGTGGTCAACAGCACCCACTGGCCACCAGCACGTCATAGTCAATATCAAATCAGGATCAACAGCAGGAAATGCTTAAACGCAGGTAGTCGTCAACAGCTAGCAGCGGCCAACACCAGGAAAGGGGCAACAAAAGGTACTGGTCCAAAACAGAAACAGGTAATGCTCAACACAGCTCAGCCTGGGCACGCGCAGACCGGAACCCTATCGTCCAGATCAGGCCAGGCAGGCAAATCAGGCTGGGCACGCGGACCCGAACACATGCCAGACAGAATGTCGGAACACATGCCAGAAAAAATGCCAGATAGAATATCGGAATGGATACCACGTAGAATGCCAGAAAGCATATGCCAGAAAGAATGTCAAAGTATATGCCAGAAAGAATGTCATACATATTCATATAGAATGTCAGCGTGCATATACTCTGTATACTTCCAGATGATATGTTAGAAACTATGTCATATTAATTTGTCAGGGTGGGGATCACTCGAAGTATTTTTTTTTTCCGTCGGTGTAGATTTTGCCCAATGCATGGTGATTGAAAAGCTCTAGCTTTAGATTGTCTTGCTACTCTGCATTTTCTGAGAGCCACTATGTTTAGTTTTTGTCCTGGCCAAGCCATCGATGGCCCTATCTTTGGTTTTTCTGGTGCGGAATTCTGTTCAAGGCAGTTTATTTTTGTTTTTTCAGTCTTGTTTCTGTACAGGTAACGTTTTTACACGCCGCGTTCTTTTCTTTTTGGTGCGGGCTTTGCCCAGGGCAATCTTTTCTCATGCAGCTATTTTTGAATTTCTTGGATGTGATTCTTGTCCAGTGTAGCGTTCTTGACACCACTGGTTCCGGATTTTTCTGATGTGGATTTTGGCCACGCAAACCTTTTTTGACAGTTGCTATCTTTGATGGTTTTTTGGCGCTGATTTTTTGTCCAGGAAGCCGCTGTCTTCGGGCTGTTTCTGGTGTGGATTTTGTCCAGGGCAACTCTTGACCTCTATAGATCTTTCGGGCATTGGTTTTAGCAGCGGGAAGCGGGGAATTCCGTTGATACCGCTATCTTTGGGTTTCTGGTGCTGAATTTTGTCCAGGTAAATTTTTTGATGCCACCCCACCATCTTTGCATAGTTGGTGCTGGCCTTGTCCAGGTCATGCTTTTGATACCGTTGTTTTGGATTGTTTGTCGAAGATTTTGGCTATTTTTGGCAGCGCTATCTAGTTGTTTTTTCTTGGGCTGATTTGCCTACGGCAATTTGTCGAGCGCCGCTATCTTCGGAATTTTGTCCCATGCATTTTTTAAATTCAGACCACTATCTTTGATTTTTTTGGTTTCAGTTTTGTCCAGAGATTTCTTTCGCTGCCACTATCTTCTGTTTTTTGGTGTTCAATTTTGTCCATGTCTTGCGGCTATCTTCGGATTTCTTGGTGTTGAGTTTGTCCAAAGCAACCATCAATAGTGACGTCAAAATAGGTTTCCCTGGTCCAACATCTCCATCTTGAAAAACTACACTGACATAAACCCTAGATAGGCATGTGTTCCATCACGGTTGGCAAATCTGTTTGAATTTGCGGAAAAAGGGACTGTTATGATTCAAGCGCGGCTCGCAGACACAATACTCGGACGCAAAGCGGCAGTGGCAGGCGCTGGCATCTCTAAGCCATCATGAAGACAGACAAAAGTGGGAGACACAGCAGCGCAAGGCAAGACCTCAAAAAAAAATCAAAGGAAACAAGGCAGCGACAAATCTGAGAGGAAACGTTACTAATAGAACGTCTTTGGCATCGGAAGCAGGCCTCGGCTCCTGCAGCTGGCGCTTTCGGAGTTTGGAAATTTAGTGGCAGCGCCTGCTTCCAAAACTCTCGGCGCAGCTGCCGCAAATCATCGCGGCGAGAATATCTGGGGCCATGGCAAACAAGCCGCATCCAAAGCCCGCATCCAAAGCCAAAGCCATGGAGTGCTTGAAACTACGCATAAAACGCAACCAAGTTCAAGATTTTTTCCAATTGTTTAATCCATTGTGCAAGTTCCGCAAAATACGATGACCCTTCTATATAGATATCTCTCTCCTGTCGCATGTGGGGCACACGATGAGATTCGCCAGCACCGTCGAAGCCACAATTAGAAAGGCCCCGCAGCAAGAGACCACTGTGTCAGCGCACAGAAACGCTGCCACCGTCGTAGCGTCGCGAAGGAGGTCAAACCTGGCCGCTGTCGTGTGGCTGTGTTCGACAATGATTCGGGATATGGCATGACCAATGGACATGTTATGGAAACAAAACATGCGTGATGTATTGGAAAATAAGTGATGAATCATCATGAATCATGCTTGGATTTACTTGCATGATATTCTGCTCATATATACCCATATACTATCCAGTTTGAAGCCTGGAGATGGAGATGAGGATGGGGATACAGAGATAGAGATAGAAACTGTGACAGAAGACAAACAGTGCATTGAAACCATCACAGAACAATAAAGTTTGCAACCAATCGCAATATGTCCACGTTTTCCGTGGAACGACATCTGCACAAATAATCTAGGTTATAGTTATGACAAACATGTTGTCAAATATCTTACCTGGGAACCCATACGTACAAAATACTTGTGTGTTTTGGCGATGTGAGAAACACCACCGGGATGCGACTCCGGAGGACACTCGTCCCTTGCAATACCCTGGGAAAACTTCGCCAAGTCATGTAGTGTCTTCTTGTCCGCGCCCGTTTTTGGTCGAGAAAAGTCAAAAAAAGCCTAAAGTTCTAGAAAACAACTGTTGTTTTCCCACTTTCAGCGTTTTTTGCGACTCGCTTTTCACAAAAAAATGCGAAAAGAAAGAAACGTGAGAACAGGTAGAATGTAGTAGAAAAATTAAAGAAAGTGAAAAGAACAACAAAAATACAATAAGTAGAAAGGTGATTCCTTCTCGGCGTTTCTAATAACTTTTACTGTTTTTTGTATTTGTCGACTTTTTGCGCACAGGGCCGCCTTTCGAGTTTTCGAGAAAACAGATTTGGACGTTTTTTGCGTTGTTTTTGTTTTTCGACTTTTCGTGCCCTGATGCTTTGCTGATGCTTTGTTGTGCTTTGGTGATGCTCAATACTGGTAGACACAGCATTTACTACACAAATGCTACGCTGCTTGCAATTTTACTGATGCTACGCTGCTTGCAAGCTGCTTGCGCTACAGCCTGATGCTTCGCTGCCACAGGCTGTGAGGGAAACCTCAGAAGGGGGGAACGAAAGCCAGCATCCCACCTACCCCTATTTTCCCCCAAAGACTTTTCACCCAAAGACTTTATACGTTTCACCCACAGACGGTTCAACCATATACTTCTCACCCACAGACTTTTCCCCCATATATATTTTTCACGGACAGGCTTTTCATCCACATACTCTTCACCCACAGATTTTCACCCATATAGTTTTCACCCAGAAAGTCTTCTTGCACAAGCTTTTCACCCAGAGACTTTTCACCCACAGGCTTTTCACCCACATACTTTTCAGCCACGGACTCTTCACCCATATACTGTGTTTTCACCCATATACTGTGTATACACCCATATACTGTGTATACACCCATATACTGTGTATACTTGTCACCCACAAACTTTTCACCCGCCATCTTCCACCCATACATTTCTCGCCCACAAACTTTTCACCCACCCCCTTTTCTCCCACAGACTTTGCAACCTCAGACTTTTCATCCGGTTCACCTGCATACTTTTTTCCCACGGGCTTTTCACCCACACACTTTTCACCCACAGACTTTTCACCCAGAGGCTCTTCACCAATATATTTTGTACCCTCAGACTTCCCCCATATTTTTTTTTCGCCCATATACTTTTCACCCATATGCTTTTCGCCCAGAAACTTTTCACCCATATATTTTCACCCATAGACTTTTAACCCACAAACTTTTCACCCAAAGTCACCCATATACTTCTGACCCACGGGCTTTTCACCCACACACTTTTAATCCACAGACTGTTCAACCATATACTTCCCACCCAGACTTTTCACCCACAGACTTATCACCTGCAGTCTTTTCACCCACAGGCTTTTCACCCATAGGTTTTTCACCCACATACTTTTCACCCGCAGACTTTTCACCCATATAATTTTCACCCAGGGACTTTTCACCCACAATCTTTCACCCATATACTTCTGAAAAATTAACTTTTCACCCACAGACTTTCACCCATACACTTTTCGCCCACAAACTTTTCACCCACGCTCTTTTCACCCACAGACTTTTTCACGCACAGCCTTGTCACAATTTTCATCCACAGACTTTTCACCCATACACGTTTCACCCCTATTTTTCACCCAGAGACTCTTCACCCAGAGGCTCTTCTTCCACAGGCTTTTCACCGACAGACTTTTCACCCACAGACTTTTCACTCGCAAACTTTTCGCCCACAGACTTTCAATGACCCTTACGCTCATCGAAGGAAGTTTATAGTCAAACTTCCGACAATATGGGCAGATGAAAAGCAGAGCAGGGAAGAGGCAGAGAGAAGAGGAAGATTAGAAGAAGGAAGATTAGAAGAAAGAAGAGTAGAAGAGAAAGAGTAAGCAGAAAGAAGATGCAGATGCGCGAAAAGGTAGGAAAGTCGCGAAACACGGTGTTTTTCCAATGATTTGTGGCTCCGGAGGGTCGAAAAGTAGGCTCGCTAAAGCGGCGGGTGCGGAGCCAGCTGGCCAGATGAGTGATGAAAAATTGCAAAAGTGCACGCCGTTGTGGCGCGAAGCGCATTTCGAAGTGCAAAATGTACAAAACACCACATGTTCGTGCCACTTTTGGAGGTTCAGATGTCGAGAAAGTGCACGCCGTTGTGGCGCGAAGCACATTTTGAAGTCAAAATGTACAAAACACACCAGCTTCGGACCACTTTTGGAAGTTGAGATGTCGAAAAAGTGCGCGCCGTTGTGGCGCGAAGCACATTTCGAAGTCAAAATGTACAAAACACACCAGCTTCGGACCACTTTTGGAAGTTCAGATGTCGAAAAGGTGCACGCCATTGTGGCGCGAAGCACATTTTGAAGTCAAAATGTGAAAAACACTAGGCGTTCGGACCACTTTTGGAGGTTAAGATGTCGCTTCGCTTCGCTTCACTAGACTACACTACAGTACACTACACTGCATTCCACTACACTACACTACATTACACTACACTACACTCCACAACACTACAACTACAACTACACAACTACACTCCACTACACTACACTACACTCCACTACACTAAATTACACTACACAACACTACATTACACTACACTCCACTCGACTATAGTACACTACATTACACTACACTACACCACACTACCTTCCACTAGACTTCACTACAATACATTACACTACACTCCACTACACTACAACTACACAACTACACTCCACTACACTCCACTACACTCCACTACACTCCACTACACTCCACTACACTAAATTACACTACGCTACACTACTTTACACTACACTCCACTACACTACACTACATTACACTACACTACCTTCAACTACACTTCACTACATTACACTACACTACACTCCACTACACTACAACTACAACTACACAACTACACTCCACTACACTACACTACACTACACGAAATTACACTACACTACACTACATTACACTAGACTCCACTACACTCCTCTACACTAAATTACACTACACTTCTCTACATTACACTACACTACACTACATTACACTACACTACGCTACCTTCCACTACACTTCACTACATTACACTACACCACACTCCACTACACTACAACTACAACTACACAACTACACTCCACTACACTAAATTACACTACACTAAATTACACTACACTAAATTACACTACACTACATTACACGACAGTACACTACATTCCGCTACACTCCACTACACCACACTACATTACACTACACTACATTACACTGAATGACACTGCACCACAGATAGATAGATAGATAGATAGATAGATAGGTAATTAGATGAAAGAGAGAGAGAGAGATAGATCGATAAATAAATACATACATAGATAGGTAGGTAGGTAGATAGTCAGAGAAAGAGAGAGAAAGAGAGGAGACCTCAACCACCTTTGAGTCCATCAGTGGCTTCGCTCTGCCATCCCTGATTCACAACAACCAGTCTCTCCTATAGGTTTCCTATTTTCGAAACTTCCGCCACCGCCTTGTGCGGTACTACTGGTATTTTCATATTTTCATCACCCGTTCCCAAAGTTTCCCAATTTCACTTTCTTTACCGACAGAAGTTCTTTCTCCATAGCTACTGTGCTTCCATTCGCGGACCCTTACCTCTACCCTCCTCGCCTCGTGTTTTCGTCGCCCCTTTCCGGGGCTTCCTGATTTCACATCCTGAGCTCAAAGATTGCTTTTCCAAGCAATGCCTCTGCCCTCCTCACCTCACATTTTATTCACCATCTTTTCCCTTACCTTCCACTTCACTTACCTTGCACTTCCCAATGTCCTTGCTTTCCTTGTTCGCAGCCCGCTCCTCTTTCCCACTGCCTCGTCGTTCGACAAAGCTATCAAGGCCCTTCCCTCTCCACCCTCTATCCGTGCTGGCGGAATCCCCTCCGGGGAACGGACCACACCGCTTATGCAATCCTTGCGCCCAAAATGGTCCCACATCGGAGCTCGACAGATAGGGATAGAAGAGCAATAATGTCAACATAAAAAGGCGTGAAATCATGTACTGGTTATGGATCTTGAGCTGTGTACGCGCTCAGCTATCTGGAAAGGAAGTACATGAAGAAGGAAAAAGCAGCCATTACCTTTCCAAGCAATGCCTTTGCCCTCATCCTATTCACCCCCCTTTCCCTTGCGCTTCCACTTCGCTTCCCTTGCACTTCAGCCAACGTCTTCCCCAACCCACTTCTGCCCCAACCCTGGCCTCAGCATTGATTCAAACCTACCTTCTCTTCTGTTCTCTATATCGCCTCCCACTTCCGACCCCACTGCGTACCTTCGTCATCCCTTCCAAAGCTTCCTAATTTCACATCCTATACTGACAGAAGTTCCTTCTAAGCCTTGCGACAATAGTGCTCCCATATCGGATCCCAACAAATAGGGGTAGAAGAGTAGGAGGGAGACATAAAGAAAAGTAACCATTGAGTTCCCACCTTTCCAAGCAATGCCTTTGCCCCTGGCCTCATTCTATTCCATTCTATTCCAGTCTCTGTATCGGACGGACCAGCCACTGCATACTTTCGTCACCTCTTCCAAAAGTTTCCTAATTTCACATCCTATACTGACAGAAGTTCCTTCTAATCCTTGCGACCATAATGGTCCCACATCGGAGCCCAACAGATAGGGGCAGAAGAGTAATTAAGAGAGAAACACATATTGTCACCACCCTTTTCACATCCTATAATGACAGAACTTCCTTCTAATCCTTGCGACCATAATGGCCCCACATCGGAGCCCAACAGATACTGGTAGAAGAGTAAAAGAGAGACATAAAGAAAAGTAGCCGTAGCCACAGCGCCCAGCAGTGGGCTTGACCCGAACAACCGTTGCTATGAAAAAACGGCAAAAACATTGACGGAGCCGACGCAGCAGTCTCATCTTCTGCTATGTAATTACCCCTTTTCAAAGCTTCCTGATTTCACATCCTATACTGACAGAAGTTCCTTCTAAGCCTTGCGACCAAAATGCTCCCATATCGGAGCCCAACAGATACGCGTACAAGAGTAAGAGTGAGACATCAAGAAAAGGAGCCATTGAGTTCCCAGCTTTCCAAGCAATGCCCTTGCCTCTGTCCTCATTCTATTCTGCAAGAAACGGTCCAAGAGAATAGTGGTCCCACTTCGGAGCCCATTGCATATTTTCGTCACCCCCTCCAAAGCTTCCTGATTTCATATCGGATGTCGCCAAGTGCCTTGCCTGCCACGCAAAAGTGCCGCGCGCCCCGCCCAACCAACAGGCCCAAGCGCGCCACGTGCCATACGTGCTACACCTGCCATGCAAAGTGCAGGTGGACGTCGCCAAGTGCCACGCCTGCGCCCAGGCAACCAACCACCAAACCCGGCCCAGTGCCGTGGCCCCGGGCGACCAACGGGCCCCAAGCCGCGCCACCAGACCCAGCCCAGTGCCATCAGTGCACGCCTGCCATGCAAAACGTAGGTGCATGTCGCCAAGTGCCACGCCTGCCCCACGCAATACCAAGTGCCACGCCTGCCACGCAAAGTGCCGCACCGCCCCAAACGACCAACGGGCGCCAAGCACGCCACCAGACCCAGCCCAGTGGCAAGTGCCACGCCTGCCGCGCAAACATGGTGTGGACCACGCCTGCCACGCAAAGATGGTGTGTGGCAAAGTTGTGTGTGACAAAGGGGTGGAAGAAGATGATGTGTGACAAAGTGGTGTGTCAAAGATGGTGTGTGACAAAGGGGTGGAAGAAGATGATGTGTGACAAAGTTGTGTGTGAAAGATGGTGTATGTGAACGATGGTGAGTGACAAAGTTGTGTGTGAAAGATGGTGTGTGACAAAGAGGAGTGTGACAAATTTCTGTGTGAAAGATGGTGTGTGACAAAGTGGTGTGTCAAAGATGGTGTGTGACAAAGTGGTGTGTGAAAGATGGTGTGTGACAAAGAGGTGTGACAAAGTGGTGTGTCAAAGATGGTGTGTGACAAAGTGGTGTGTGAAAGATGGTGTGTGACAAAGTTGTGTGTGAAAGATGGTGTGTGACAAAGAGTCGGCGGAGAGGGAGGGGGACGAGGAGGAGGAGGAGCGGGATACATAATCAAAAACCAGAACACCCCACAAAGACATGGGGAAAAAGTAGCAATTGAGTTCCCACCTTTCCAAGCAATGCCTTTGCCTCTGTCCTCATTCTATTCCGGTCTCTATATCGCCTCCCAAAATGCACCTCCAAGGACCTTTCCAAGCAATGCCTTTACCTCTGTCCTAATTCTATTCCGGTCTCTATATCGCCTCCCAAAATGCACCTCCAAGGACCTTTCCAAGCAATGCCTTTACCTCTAGCCTCATTCTATTCCGGTCTCTCTATCGCCTCCCAAAATGCACCTCCAGGGACGGACCCGGGGGGAATTGATACCCCACCGTCACCCAATTGCCACCTGGTACATTACCCCTCACTTTTGCCCGCTCTGCCCCCAGACCCCCTTAAGTCACTTTGCTCGCAAAAAAATATTCGCCTAGCCCAACAGCTGGCTTTCGTAATAAAGAAAAGTAGCCATTGACTTCCCATCTTTCCAAGAAATGCCTTTGCCTCTGTTGTTCCGGTGTCTATATAGCCTCCTATATCGCCGTCCGAACTGAACCTTCAACGACCTTTCCAGGCAATGCCTTTACCTCTGGCCTCATTCTAGTCCGGTACGCGACCCATGATACTCCCATATCGGAGCCCAACAGATAGGGGGAGAAGAGTAAGAGAGACACAAAAAGAAAAGTAAGTAGCCATTGAATTCCCACCATTCCAAGCAATGCCTTTGCCTCTGGCCTCATTCTATTCCATTCTATTCCAGTCTCTATATCGGACGGACCAAGAGAACGAACCCCTTCCCAAGTTTCCTAATTTCACATCCTATACTGACAGAAGTTTCTTCTAATCCTTGCGACTGTCATGGTCCCACATCAAACCCCAATAGATAGGCGTAGAAGAGTAAGATGCAGATGCATACTTTCATCACCCCTTCCAAAGCTTCCTCATTCCTCATGTCACGTCCTTTACTGACAGAACTTCCTTCTAATCCTTGCGACCATAATGCTCCCACATCGGAGCCCAACAAAGTAGCCATTGACTTCCCACCTTTCCAAGAAATGCCTTTGCCCCTGTCCGCATTCTGTTCCGGTCCGCCTCCCAAAATACACCTCCAAGGACCTTTCCAAGCAATGCCTTTACCTCTAGCCTCATTCTATTCCGGTCTCTCTATCGCCTCCCAAAATGCAACTCCAGGGACGGACCAGAAGGGAATCGGTACCCCACTGCACCCAATTGCCACCTGGTACATGCCCCTCACTTTTGCCCGCTCTGCCCCCAGACCCCCTTAACTCACTTTGCTCGCAAAAAAAAAAAATCGCCTAGCCTAACGGCTGGCTTTCGCAATAAAGAAAAGTAGCCATTGACTTCCCACCTTTCCAAGAAATGCCTTTGCCTCTGTCCTCATTCTATTCCGGTCTCTCTACCGCTTCCCAAAATGCAACCCCAGGGACGGACCAGAAGGGAATCGATACCCCACCGTCACCCAATTGCCACCCCGGGCTCCACTGCACCTAATTCCGTGATTTCTGGCCCGTTTGGCCCGCTCTGCCCCCAGACCCCCTTAACTCACTTTGTTCGCAAAAAAAAACTTCGCCTAGCCTCCCGGCTGGCTTTCGTAAACATGCTGCACAGTTGGCGCCGTTGAAACCACGGATGTTTTTCGTCAGCGCAAACATTGAAAATATGTCAGCCTGCTTGTACGCATATACATCTTCTAATTGTATCTGCCGGCTTTTATTACACATACTGCCTATACATCCCAATTGGAGGTTTACCCGTAACGTTCTTAATCGTCTTTATTTGCTCAAATACGTATAGGCTACCGTATTACGGGTTTTCGGTGACTTCAGCCCAAAAATGGAGCAGATTGGGCAGATTGGGTGCCACTATACGGCACTCAAATATACTACCCATATTTGCCTCCATGTTTGGGCATGGCCAAAAAATACCAGGAGTTTTGAACATTTTGTTATATTTTGTTGATAAAGCACACTCCTAAATAGTGCCCCGGCATGTTTCTACATGGGCTCTCGTCGTGTCGGAGCCAGCCCAGGAAAACCGTTAGCATGAAAGTAGACGAATTTGATCTGGGATGAACTGGGTATGGCCATATTTGGATAAGCATGAAAAAATGCCACCCGTATGAAGGAAAATAACGACCCGGTATGCGTTATGTGTCTGTGCGTCTATCAACATTGCACTGCTTCACGAACAATACCCCAGATTCTGAGTTCTCGCCTCTCACCAAGAGGTAGGAGTGCTTCGATTACATGGATGCATTGAACATTTGCCCAAAAAGCATTCACCACCGTGCAGGAAAGTGCTTCGAAGACAGCGAGCAAGTAGAAATCGAAGGGCATTCCGCTTTGTAAATGAACCCTCCCGGTCAAACCTCACGTTGGGTGAAGTCTGCGCACTAGAGGTGTAACATGGTGTAACCATTTTTTACAAAGCACCGGAGGCTGTTGAAATGTGTTAAATACGAAAAACAAAAGCAAGTGAAGCAATGCGTATTCATGAACACGTTCTGAAAAGTGAATACCTGTGAAACATGAATGAACAGCGTACAAATCAATGCGTGTAGCATGGTTTGCCCGACCCTTAAGACAAGCCGATGTCTAGGGGAAACCCTTTAGTTCAATACCTTGTCATAAAAAACGGTAGCACTTCCGCATTGGCAGTTGATCTGTGGACACTGGTTGCCAGCGGAAAATGAAACAGTTATGCGCAGTTCAGTCGGCACATAGTGTCGGGAAAATTCGGGAAATGTCAGGAAGGTGATCTGACGGTAAGGAGAAACTCAATCTTCGCAGTTGTGGTCAAGCGTCACCAGAACACTGAAGGCCGCGTCAGATTAGACTTGTTGCATAATTCTGCTGCTACATCGCACGGGAAAAAATACGACAAGAGAGCAACCGCTGCATTGTGCCAAGACACCTGCAAAAACTCCAATTCCAAGCACTGCGTAAACCACAGTCACGTGGTAAGCCACGAACATGACCTCAAGTGTGGCAAAATGTACTCGGAAAGGCTCCCGTCACAACCATCACTTGCCCAAATCGCATTCGGATGCGACCAAAGCAGCATCCTTCGTGTAGAATTCGGAATCATCATAGTCAGCAGCCTCAAGGCAAATTTACTTGAAATGATTGGAGCTTACCGCCTCACAGTGTCGCTTTGCGCCGCATTAGGATGAGGTCTGGTTCGCCAACTATGGTTCGAAAACAACGGTTTGGGAACAGCGGAAGTGTGGGGACATGGTTTGGAAGCTGCATAAAATACTTCTGAAACGATGGGGAGTGGTTCTGTAAGCGCAGATTAACGTGTCCATGAAACTATCTGCATTCTTAATGTAAGTCTTGTGCAGTTGTCAAATTCAACAAATCAACGCGTTGCTTCCAAGGGGGAGGAGGCAAAAATTGAAAAACCATGTTCAATTTGTGAAAATTCTCAATGCGCTGTCTTGGAGAGTAGGCGGGGGTAAGAATGTTAGATATGTCCTGACATGTTAAATTTGTTCAATTTTCATAGTATTGCTTTGCAGGGGAGTGGGGGGGAGGTGAAATTAAAACATCGATCCAATATGTCAACTTTTTTCATACTTTCAACCTGTTGTTGCGTAGTAGGGGAGGCCGGGCAAAATCAAACATGGCTCAACAATGCTCAACATATCAACTTCGTTCATATTCTCAACCTCTTGTTGTGTAGAGGAAGGGGTTGCAAGTTTAAAACAAACTTAACATGTCAGTTTTCTTCATACTTTTCAATTTTGAACGTATTGCTTTGTGGGCCAGGGGAATTTGGAAAATACTTGCCACGAAGTATTTGTGGGGGAGATGGAGGGGCAGGTTCAACATCACTCAAACTGACAGTTTTCATATTCAAAACGCATTGTCAACTTTAATCATATTCTTTGCAATTTGTTTTGTAAGGGAATGTGTTAATTTTCAAAATTGATTCAACATGACAACTTTGTTTGTATAGTCATATAGTCAACGTATTGTTCTGAAGGGGAGAGGACGGGGAAAAAGACGAACATGCCAACTTCGTTCATATGTTCAATGTATTGTTTTGGGCTGGGGGAAGGACATGTTCAAAATGGTTCATTATGTCAAATTTGTGCCTATTCTCAACCGGTTTGTCTTGTATGGAAGAGGCGGGGCTAAGGTTGAAAAGCGACTTAACGCATCATCTATCGTTCCTATTGTTTTGTAGGTGAAGGGGGGTAAATTTTGAAATTGACTTAGCATGTCACCTTTGTTCATACTTTCAACGTATTGTTTGGTAGGGAAAGAGGTAAAATTTTAAATAGGTTAAACATGTCAGCCTTCTTCATGTTTCCCTGTACTTTCAACATATTGTTTGGTAGAGGAGGGGGATAAAGTGTCAAATTTTGCTCAACATGTCAACTTTCTTCGCGGCAAATTTACATTGGCTTACACATGTCAACATGTTCATACTTTAAACCGATTGTTAGGCTTCAAGAGGTGCGCAGCACACTCCCCTTTTCTAGGTCAAGCACACGAAGGTTCATAATGCTTGAAAGGGATTTCCAAGCGCCTTTCCAATTTTGTAGGCTCCCTTTGGGCCTAAGTTGCCCTATGGCTTTCCAGTCCAACCCTCTGATTGTAACTGACTCAAAAAAAGACCAATTGGTCCCGGCTGAATCCTTTGAAGTCAGCAAAACCAAAACCACGCGTGGCACGTGGCAGGCCAAAAGGAGGACACGTGGCATGTCCAGGAAAGGTCTCTTCCACGATCCCACTCACGCAGCGTGCTGTGTCAAGGCAGCAACTGGGGAGGGAGGCCACGGGTGAAGGTGGCGAGGCGGGACTTAGCATGCTGAGAGAGCCTGATGGAGGAGCTGCGCTTGGCCGTCCTCAAGGCACATGCGCGCAACGGACAGGGAACACCATCTGCCACGTAATATCACCCTGTCCACCGCGAGTGAGGTGGCAAGGCTATGCGTAGCTCCCCTCGCCTTATGGAATAAGGCTTGAATAAAGCTGAAAGCCATACTGCTCCCACACCAAGGGCACCCAAAGCAGCATGACACTTGTTCCGAAAAGCCGTCCCAACACGTGGCCAAATGAGATCAGATTGACCATGTTTCGTTGCCAGAGACATAGGTCCCACAGCCGCCCCAGATGGGCATCATTGAACCGAAGATCCGCACTATGACCACGCCAGTGGTGGAACCCATCGTCGTGATATCATCACGAATGAGTTTGAAGATTTCCCCTGTGCGCAAAAAGGCATGGTAGCGTAGCGCTGCAAGGAATGCCGTGCAACAGTCTTCCTGTTCCAGGAAGTAATTGAAATCCTGGGTTTGTTGTAATTAAGGAGTTAACATAATTAGAATCACTTATGTTCATTTATCAACTAGTTACAACTATGTGTTAACAACCTACAACTAGGTCCTAACTATGTACAACTAGTGGTAATTTTAAACATAAGTTAAGTTAAATCATTAATTTTCTGATGAAATTATGTAACTAACTTAACTCAAGTTAACTTTGTATAATTTCCAGCTCTTTTTAGAACTTGATTTGAATCATTCTCAGTTACTAAGAATGTTTTTTTGCTTCCATATTATTTGCATTGACCATATATTTGCTTACCAAAAGAAAAACGCACCATTTAAAAAAATGTTTTTTCTCGTGAATTGAGAATTTGTTTCCCCAGAAATATTTTTGTTTTGCAAATTTTCAAAATGATTTCTCCTTTTGGGTGAACATGCAAAAGCTTGTCAAAACAAAAATGCTTGTTTTGGGCACAATCTCCATGACATGTGACAACCCACAAAAGCGATGTTTTGGCCACATCTTTTGCCAAATGTTTCTGTGGGCATGCATTGGACCAATATTTTTTTTGGCTCAGGATTTGCCAGCCCAAGGGAACCAGCGAGTTGCAGCCAGCCATGGTGGACATCACCTACCGCTACCAAATCAAGTACCAAGAGGACAAACCAGTGACCATTGCTGCAGACCTGGTTGAAGAGCACCAAGGCCAAAAATTCTTGAAGTTCAGTGCCACCCACTACTCCATTTGCCAATTGGTATGTGGTGGCAAGTTGCCCAAGAACCCCAGTTTGCCCAAGAGCAAGGAATTGCAAGCTTTGATCCAAGCCAGGAATGGAAAGATCCAAGAATATTTTGCAGCACCAGAAGGTCCCCAAGAAGGCCAAGAATTGTTTGGTGAAGAGAACCCAGGCAATGGCACCAAGAAAAGAAAAGCCCAGACCATGGAAGAACCAGCTGACAAGTTTGTGGTAACCATCCAGTTGGGTTCCACTGAGATTCCATGTTTGGCTGGTGGCCAAAGACCTTCCAAATGGGATTTGTTTGTTGCCATGGAGCCAGAGCCATTGAGGCAAGTCATTGGCCATTTGAGAGCTGGCTGCCAATCTGCATTGAACGAACCCGCCAGAGGTTACAAAGGCACAAAGAAAGACTGAAGCCACAGGTGACCATAGCAGGGATGGCCAGGAAACAGGCAAGTTGCAGCAAACAATTGCAAAATTCACAATGACTATGATTACAAAAGGCCTTTATATGGCCATGATCATTAGCAGGAACGGTCATCAAAACCCATGATGAAGAACCACTTTCAATCCACAGTTTCCATGTATATCACATGTTTGGTTGATGCTTTTGAAGGCTGCTGCTGCTTTCAAAAAATGAAGAAAGTGCCTGGCCTAAAAGAACAGCATTCAGCCAAGTTGCACCATTAGCACATGTCTTAGTAAAAACAATTTTTACAGGGATTGCCAGGCCTTGCCTGCAACCAGCCATGGTGGACAAAGTGGCTGCCCAAGTGAAAGCCATGATGGATGGCCCCTTGGCCATCAACCAGAAAGTAAACCAGGTCATTGACCTGTTGGAAGCCCATGGGTTGGCCCACAAAGTGGTCCCCAGACCATCACAGATTCTATGCCACCCTGACGACAGGGGTGGGACCATGGTGTCCAGCCTTTTGCAGGGTTCCATAGCCATAGAGATGTCCAAAGATGAAGCCAAAAGAAATGTCCAGATTTCAAGAATGAGCAATCGTTCCAGGAAGCCATTGGGCACCTTGCACCTCTCACTGGCCAGGAACGTTCCTTGGCTGTTTCAAATGGCAGTGTTGAAACCACCATGCTGAAGCTTTCACAAAGACAGCCACACTGCATATACTGATTCCAAATGTTTTGGTAATACAATTGTTGATTCAGTGACCATTGCACTTCCTAGGTTATTTGTCTTTGAGTGCCAATAGGTCACCATGGGCCAATGCCACCAGGGCCAATGCCAAAGGTCCCCAGGACCTAGACCAATAGGTCACCATGGGCCATAAAGGCACCATGTCCAACCGCACTGGCCATGAAGGTCACCAGCAGCTGCAAAGTCAAAAAAAGTGCCCACTGCAGGCACCAAAGGCCATTTATGGCTACACCATGTCTCGTTGAGTTGCCACCAGCAAATGCCATATGTGGCCAACTTACTCAAAAGCCATGATGGCCAACATGAATAAATCATAGTAAAAAAATACCCAAACCTGGATTTGCTACAATTATTTTTTTCTTCCAAGATAAATTTCTTGTAGGTTCGAACTTCAACTTGAAGTGTTTTTTGAGTATTTGTTTGTTTATAGCAAAATATACTTGAATTTGAGAAAAGAATATGTTTTTTTTTGTAGTAAAAAAAACCTTGAAAGAAGTAAATCTGATGTAACAAAACTTTTCGAAACAAAGATTCAAAAGAACTAACTAAAGGTTCCACCTCAGTGTATTTCAACTTAACTGGATGTAGTTTGTACTGTGAGTATCAAATCCAACTGAAAGATTTCAGGTTAAACTTGTCCAGTTTAAAATTCCAAACTGGAAACCCTCCAGACTCCAGGAACTTTGAGAGATATACTAATTCATAAAAAATGAAATTGAAAGTAAAAACAGTTCATATACTTTAAATATTTTATTTCAAAATAAATTGATTAAACTTAAGTTCAAAAATCATACTAACTGAAATCTTTCAGTTCCAGATTCCTCATTCTTGACTTCTATTTGGTCTGTGCTTTTTAAAAATGAAAAGGAAAACTATATTGAATCACTAGTATATTTTTTTTTAAAAAATATAAACTATACATTCTATTTATGATTTTAATTTCTCAAAAACGTGTTCCTTTTCGTTTTTTTTTTGTGTTTTTTCAAAAAAATCAAGATCTGCATTTAAAAATGTGGCCCAAAAAAGTTAGATCCAGAATCTGAATCTAAAATCTGTATTTAACAGAGTTAGATTCAGATTCTGAATCTAAAATTGCAAAAATCAACGTTTAGATTCAGATTCTGAATCTAACTGTCCAAAAGTTAATTTTTAGATCCAGATTCTGAATCTAACTCTGGAAGGTAAGAATTTTAGTTTCAGATTTTGAATCTAAATCTTTTGATTAAAATTTGGAAATATTTTTTTTGAAAATATGAAAATAATTCATGAAAGATGTAATATTTTTGAAAATAAAATGAAATAATTATAACATATGGTTTCTCATTGTCTTTGGGGTTTACTTTTTTTGCTCAAAAGTCATAGTGGCATCCAACACATTAAACCCAAATGCAAAATAGCATTTATAGCATTGTATCAAAAACCTAAGTGGCCTTCATGATGTTAAAGCAAAAAACCTTGATGGCCTTTATGGTATGTGTATTGTAATTTGGCATGTCATATTAATATATATACTGTATATATCTCTCAAAAACCATGGCACAACATGTACAATGTTATCATTACATGGAAGATAGTCTCAAAGCCAATATAGTATACCAGGCAGTATCTCCATATGTATATTCAATTAGTTGCTTTCATATATACATATTCATATGTACACCAACTGAAGCCCAAAGAGGCAACAGATACCAGCAGTCATGGCAGAGCCAGTGGACCCAGAGGCAACCACCAGTGACTCCAGTACAAGTTTCGAATCCAACAAGACCATTTATGAAGAGCAATGGATGCCAGAGAACCCATCTATGCCCAAATCCAGGGAACCCATCAAGTTGGAGCCAGATTCCCCAAAGCGTCCCCAGAGTATGATCCCTATGCGACTCCAAAGCCCCATGCTGACAACCTGCCTGATAGACATACCCATGGCAGAAGCTGCTTCAGCCAGTGATCCCAAGAGACCACTTTCACCACCAAAATATGTCACCAGGGGTTCCACTGCCTTGGGATGTAGCCATGTTTGCTTAGCAAGCTCATGCTGGGCAAGAAGCCTCCCACTGGTTCACTGCAGCCACCACCACCTGCCAGTGACTTCCCATCCTCTCCCGCAGCCATGGAGAGCAGCACCAAGGCCCATCCCATGGCAGGCTTCCCATCGCCCCCATCACCAACAGCAGCAGGGGCCATCCAACCCAGGTGTTGCATCCACCAGTGCCCCATCTGGATGGGCCCACACTTTGAGCAAGAAGACAGGGTGGAAGTCCAAACTGGTGTCTTTTTGCAGTTTGTGGGAGCAAGAAGACTGGCCAACATGTACCTCCATCATAGCCAAGTTCCGGTCAGACCTCACTAACCACCCAGTCACCGCCGACCAAGGATGGGGTTCCACTGCTATCAGGCTGGTGAACCACCACTAGCAAGGCGATTGGCCAAAGGTTCATGCCCTGCTGCAGTCCATGAAGAAAGATTTGCATTTCAGAAGCGAACTCACCAGGACCAAAAACATCAGCCAAGCCCATGGGTTTGATGGCAGAAGGCCAGATTGGTTTGATATCTGAGAGATTTCCACCAAAACATTTGTTTCACACAGCCAGCGACAAAAGGAGCAGCAGCTTTGTTTTTTGTTGTCCAAAAGCCTGTTTGGCTTCCATTTGAGGCTGTGCATTGGTGACAGACATTTGTACCAAAGCCATATATGGCAGACAAAGATAAACTTCAAACGCCAAATATGGACACTTCTAGCAAAAGCCATCTTTTGGCCACATCTTGCTTTTCTTACCATTCCCATGTCTATGCAACTCCTGGTAAAGTCATTCCTTCTTTCCATATTATATCCTTGCAAGTAGCTCTAGATGGTATATCACGAAGTCCTCCTTCACCTTGTAGACACAAGCTGTCACCTCTTCCTTTTGGCTCATGATAAAGTAGCCACCTTGCCCTTGCCAGCCTACCCACTTCTACTGCCTGCACCATGAGCCATTTGTGGAAAATAGAAGCATTTCAGCTTTGGCAACCAAATTGCTGAAAACCATCAGTTATGAAAAGCACCTCCTGCAGCAAGTGCTTTCCAATGAAACTTGCACTTTACAGCAACCAGATTTATTTCCCAAAGTTTGCCACATGTGGAAACCTAAGCTTGCCACCCAACAGGACCAAGTGGCCATGGCACCTTTTCTGAGCCAACCTTTCCTTCAAGCACAAAGTTCCACTGTTGCCATATTGGCCAGAGGTGGGCAAGTTTCAGGTGGAGATGCCATCATTTTTGCAGAAGGACATGACCCCAGCAAATGGAAAGTTGCACTTGCAATCAAGCATGTCCAAGTCTTTGGCTTGCAAGCCACTTTGGCCCAACTGTGGTCCATACAGACAATGGACCAATACCATGCCAAATGCAAGGTGACAGCCTCCAATGGGCTCATTCCTTTGAGCAATATTTTGTTCCCAGTGCCATACAGCCAAAGCAAAGACCAAGTCACTGTGTTGTTGCCTTACCAGTGCTACAGTCGAAGATAGCAGAAAAAAGTCTGTGTGTGCAGCTGTTGTTTCCAGCCAGACATTCAAAGGCTATGGTGGCTCGTCAAAGGCCAAGATGGCTTCTTCCATCAAGATATGTTTGCAAATGCCTTGTAATGGCAAAACAGTGTTAGATACACCAAAATACACATTTGTTTTTGTGAAAATATATTTTCAATTTGGCTTTTATTTTTTTTGAAAAATACTTTGCTTTATAAACATTCTTCGTACCAAAATCATTTTGGTTCTTCCAAAAAGCATAAAACAAGGCTAGGTTTTGGAGAAGCCATTTTTAAAGTTAAAACTAGTTACAAAGAGTTAGCAATTCAAGCTAATAATTATATAACTCATCTTAACTAACTTAACTTCTTACAAAACAACCAGGATTTCAAGTACCTAATTACTTCAAGGCAAATTTGGCATTCTCCGCCAGTTTTTGTAAAGCTTCCATGACCCTTTAAGGTAGCCCTTCACCTGGGGCCAGAAAATATGAAGGCCGCAAAGTGCATCACCAATAGTACCTAAGGGGTTCCAAGCTCCCAGTGATGTTCCACCCGTTCTTCTCAGAGCGGGTCAAGCTCCTCCATAGAAGCGGCAGTTTCCAGAATGGGCTACTGTGGACACGCCGCCGCTCATGCCTGCCGGCTGGCGGAATCAGTGGGGTTTTCTATAGAATCGACATGGCCTTGAAGCTGGGCCGCATTTAGAGCCAAAAGATGTGCAGGACCAAGTCGCATCTCCAAGTAATGATTGGCAAAGCGCCACCTGGTCTTGAACAGTATTTTCCGATCCCACCAGGATGCCCGAATGCTTGCATGGTTTGCTCCGGAAAGGAGTTCCCAGAGCAATGGAAACATCTGACCCGGTGTGATTGACATGCCTGGGCAAGTGGGCCACCAGGAGCCCCGTCGATCCAGCGTTGCCTGAGCGGCCCCCGCGCCCGAAGGCGACAAGGGGGGCCGGCAAGTTGCGGCCAGTCCTGGGGTCCCGGGGGCAAGCCAAACCGATCTAAAATCTGCTGTGCACAGCTGTGAAATGACCCATCCAAATGAGAGCATTGAGAAAGAGTCACCGCACAGTGACAACCTTTTGTCTTCATATCCAATTGGGTCAGATTTTGCATCACCCGCATTCCAAGCAAACAAGGTGTGGTCCCGACCAAGCCCCAAAAGCATCTCGCGTTCGGTGCTATATTCAGATATACCTAAGGTGTCTTTGTCCACCACCAAATTCTCCCGCTTGTACTGGTAAGGTGGAAAGCGGAAGCCATCTGACTCTCACCTTTCACGAACCACTGGCCCACAGCGGGATAACCCAGCCGGAGCAGGTGGTGGTTGCCACCGAATAATGGACGTCATGAAGGTGGAGAAGGGGTTGGATGAGACCATCTGTGGCCATTCCTCCAGCTCTTCTTTTAAGTCCCCGGCCCCTTACGCTTGTTGCCCCCAGCCCCGGCCCGTGGCCGGTCTTCTTCTTCCTCTGCTGGGTTCCCCAAAGGGGCCTGCTGGAGTCCAGGATCGTGAAATCCACGAAACCGCTGTGGATGTCTGCTAACTCCCGGCGCCCTCGGTTGCGACTGCGGGAACAGTCTCTGTGCCTGCGAACTCTCTCGCTCCTACAGTAGTATGGGCTCAGGTGGAGGAGCCTGCCCGCTTAGAGCCGGGGGCCTGCTTGACCTCAGCGTCTTCTCGCCCGTCGCCTTCCCTGGCGTTGGCCTCCTCTTCACTGGATTCCTCGTAACCCTCCCCGCTGCCAAAGTCAGCCGCCTCGTCGTCGCGGTTGTCTGTGGGCTCCTTGTTCTCCGACTTGACCATCTCAGCCTCCTCTGGTTGTGATGCCGCCCTCTTCAGGGTAGCTGACCTGTTGATGCTGTTGGTGACCTCGCCAAGTTTGTTGTTCGTGTTGGCCAGCCGGTCCGACAAGGAAGTGACCTGGAAATCGGTTTGTTTGTCCAGGTCCACCACGCCCTGGACTTGCCTCACCGTCTGATAGATGAGCTCCTAAAGCCCTATGAGCAGGAAAGGCAAATCGTGTCTTGGCCAGGTTTGCATCGACCTCAGTTCAGCCCATCCCTTGAGTAAATTCAAAAGCATTGGAGGGCGGTTGGTAAAATTAAAAAAGTGACCTAACACCATATTTTGGAAAGGAGAGGGAGGTAAAGTGCGAAATTAATTGGCTTAGCATGTCAATTTTGTTCATACTTGGGGGAAGGGGATGACTTTTAAGCCTTCTCCATACTTTCAACGTATTGTTTTGTAGGGGACGGGGAAGGTTTTTAGATGGAGCCGGAATTGTTTAGGGAATTCGAACCTCTCATTTTCCATGGTATTTGCAATATTAGCTGGAAGCTGTCATCTCAACGGTATTTGCAGCGTTTTTGAATTCGAACCTCTAATTTTCCATGGTATTTGCAACATGCTGTTGCCCGAACTGTTCATGTAACATGGTAGTTCGCAACTAGGGTTGATTTAGGGCATGGTTTCAGGGTTAGTTTAGTTTTTTTGGATTTAGGTTCTTTTTCGGCTTAGTTTTAGAGTTAGAATTTATTCAATGTTTTTTGGTTAGGAATATATTTAGTTTTGCCTTAAGAAGTTTTCAGGTTTATTTGAGCTTGGTTTAAGATCTGTTTAGGGTTAGTTTAGGGTTCATGTAGGGTTGGCTTGGGGGTTTATTCAGGCTTGGTTCGAGATCTATTTACTGTAGAGTTTGTTTAAGGTTGGCTCAGGCTGGTTTAGGATCTATTCAGGTTCGGTTAAAAAATATTATGGTTGGTTTATTTAAGACTTATTTAGGTTTGGTCTAACATCTAGTGGGGTTGGATTGGGATCTATTCAGGCATGATTTGAGATTATTTAGGGGGCTTTGTCAAAACTCTGTCTTGGGTTGACTCTAGGGTCTCTTTAAGCTTGGTTTACAATCTTTTCAGGGTTGGTTGAAGACCTATTTAGGGTTGGTCTAGGTTTGCTTAGGTTTGTTTAGGATCTATTTAGGCTTCGTTTAGACATATGTTTCGGGTTGGTTTATATAGTGTTTATTTAAGCGTGGTTTAACATCTATTTGGGATTGGTTTGGGATCCATTTAGGGTCCGTTTAAGGTTTATTCAGAGTTAGTTTTAGATTTAGGGCGTGTTTGGGGTTTACTTAGAGTTGCTTTAGTTTTTTTTCGTTGTGTTGTTTGTTTTTTTTTGGGGGGGGTTTATTTAAATGATGGTTCATTTCTGAGAAACAAAAGAGGGAGAAACAAAGAAGCAGAAAAGCAAAAAAAACAGCAAAGAACAAAGGAAAAACAGAAAAACAGGGAACGGCAGCAGAGAGGCAAAGAAGCAGAAACGCAGAAAAGCAAAGAAGCAGAAAAACAGAAAAGCAAAGAAACAGAAAAGCAGAGAAGCAAAGGCGCAGACAAGCAGAGAAGCAGGCAAGCAAAGAAAAGCAGAAACACGGAGAAGCAAAGAAGCAAAGAAGCAGGGAAAAGCAGACAAGCAAAGACGCAGGGAAAAGCAGAAAAGTAGAGAAGTTGGGGGCCAAATCAAAGAAATATCAAAACGGAAAATAGATCCGTCAAAAAAACATCATTTTAAAATTAACTTAACATGTCAACGGTGATTTCTTTGCAATTTTCTGTTGGCCATGCTTTTCGCACCGCCCCACGTTCCGTAGTTTCAGAACCGGCTGCCGTTGCAGAGCCGGCTTTAGTTTCCGAACTGGGCATGGTGGTTGCTGAAACGGGTGCAGTTGCTGAACAAAAAAATACTCCGCCACATCATGCTTTATATATGTGTATGCTTAGCACCCCCTTCTGATCATGATGTCTCGTTCCGCGCTTGCATGGAAGAAACAGTTTTTCCTTCGCGGCCTGGTTCTACTGAATCTACTTCTTTCATTGATTTCATGATTCGCCCCAATTAAATTGTGGGATAAAGTCCCTAGTCACCATCCTTTGCTGACAGAGCGCAACTGGCCCACGAAGCCAACTCCTGATGCCAACCATCAAAAGGGCAACAGCAGCGGAGACAGCAATCATACCTGCATAATTTGCGTTGACGAGGGTCAGGCAAGCCCAGTCGCTGGTGGAATGTGTCTTTTGTCTGCACACAAGATTTACACCCACTGGGGCTATTAAACTTGTCACCCCCTTTTGACGCTGCGCAGAACCAGCAATGTCAAGTTTTGCAACAAAACAGGCGCTGTGCTTAGCTTTGTCTACCTGTTCCCCACATTCCACCAACTCCACCCACTCCACCCAGTCTAATGCTAAGGTGCTCCAACAAATCAATGTCCGTTGGAAAATCGTCTCTGGAGACGCTGCAGTCAACCGGTCCATCGTTGGAAAGAAACCCAGCTCCACAACAGACTGAAAGCTGTGGAGCCACGGCATCTCTGCATTCTCCGCGTCCACTATGGCCGATCTTCAACCAAAAAAGGACGCATTTGAAGCGCCGGCAGCGGGCCCTACATGAAAAAGTGCAGTCTTTCAACGCTGGCAACGATCAATGATGTCATATAGAAATAGGTTCTTGTAAGGTTTTGAACATGGCAAGTCTACTTGAATTTCTGCTGCACCTGTATTCATTTGGGCATCTTTGGAGCCACAAGCTAGACCGAAGTTGGACATTCAGAAAAACCGAGTCTTACTTTGTTACTCTTGAACAAAATGCACGCGACAATAGGTCGAGAAATGCGTATGTTTTTGAAGTTCCTACATCTGTTTGGGGTCAACGCTGGTGTCATTAATTAGTTCCAAATTGCGAATTTCGACCTGAAGAAAAATAGACACAATAACAAAACACATGTAAAACATCATTTAACAGACCCCCCGGAACCAAACCTGATCCAGGAAACACCATTGATGAAACCCTTTTTTCAACATTGTCTTTGCATCATCAAGGCAAAAACCACCCTTGAGGTGATGTTTCGGTGCACAAAACAGATCATCAGAGTTTTAGTGCCATGGGCAGGAGGATACAATTCGGAAATGATTCGGAAATCAAAGTGCAATGTAAATGCCGTTGCACCACACTGCGCCGCGCCAATTCTGTTTTCAGAATGCGCTCAGCTGCTGATGGGAACGTAGTGAGAGTAGGAAGATCAACAGCGTTTCAATCTTGACATGGAATTGCGGCAGCAATATTGATTTGGGACCAGAAGGCCACAGAACAAAGGTCATGCAAAAAGATGCAAAAAGAAGTTGCAAAAATCCTCAGAATGCTTTTCCATAGCAATCTGCTCTCCCAAATGATACACCGCCGGTAAGGCTATCTAAACACATGGAAAACATGACTGTGAAATCCATACACACATTTGTGCATTTTCCCATCAACCTGCACCAATCTCACCAATGGTGGTTAAAGAGCACAATTTCAAACGATTTCATCAGATTCTAAACGCGTCCGGGTCCGAGTCCTGCGAGGCGAAACAGTTCAGTGTGATTGGGCCCACCCCGAACATGGAGAGAAATGGCATCTGCAGCAAATGGACGACTGCCTCAAAACCCCATCTGCTCTACTACGTCTGCAACTTATGGGGCAAGTAGCGCCCATTCCTCTTCGTTCGCGTCGTGAAGCACGTTCCAGGTGTCCTGTGCTTCTAGCAATCTTGGCCCACGTGCAGCTGTTCGGCACGACTAAACAACACACACACAAAAATCTTTTCCATATTGCCCGAATCATTTGAAACACCGCCACTTGCAAATGGCGAAGCATAAAGACCCTGTGCAAGATCATTTTCTAAGGATCTGTATGCCACTATGAAGGTCTGAAAGAGGATCTCTTTGGAAATGTCTTTGCAAGGACTCTGCGCAAGATCTCTTGACAGGAACTCGGGACAAGATCTCTGATCTAGTTATCTTTGCTAATCTCTTGGAGAACATCCTATGGAGATGATCCTGTAGGAGATCATGCATTCTCCCAACAAATCTTCAAAAAGGTCCTGTATAACGTCCTGTACAGGACCTCTCTTAAGGTTCCAAAGAAGATCTCTTTGGAAGCACCTTTGCCGGATCTTTCAACACTCTTGGCAGGAGCCCTTGACACGTACGTGCTATAGAATGCGATAATTAGACAGGATGGTTCTAGAAGCTACTAAGGAAAAGAAACCAAATTCAGCACCGCGCTGCAGCCACACCGATCCAACAGACGCTACGTGGTTGTACGACATGAAAATCAACATCGCGCCACATTGAGAGCGATCCGACATGCACCACATGAACTAAGGGTTGCGCAGGCGATATCAAATCAGCAAGTTTCCAAAAACGACATTTTACAGTGGAGGGGCAGAGGGGCCCGAAACGTGGGTTTCCGACGTTGCGCTGTGACGCTCCTGGGGGCGGGTGGCGCTGCGACGCTGCGACGCTGCGACACTGCGACGCTCTGGGGAGCGGGTGGCGCTGCGACGCTGCGACGCGGGATCGACGCTGCGACGCTGTTGGCGCTGCGACGCTGCGACGCGGGATCGACGCTGCGACGCTGTTGGCGCTGCGACGCTGCGACGCTGCGACGCGGGAGCGACGCTGCGACGCTGTTGGCGCTGCGACGCTGCGACGCGGGATCCATGCTGCGACGCTGTTGGCGCTGCGACGCTGCGACACAGGGGATCACAGGGGGGTGGCGGGGTTGATCTCTTGTGATGCTGAAGATGCAACATAATGTTGAGAAAGGGTGGCGGGGCTGATGTCTTGTAATGCTGAAGATGCAACGCATTGTTCAGAGGGCGTGGCGGAGCTGATGTCTTGTGAAGACTCCGTAAAGAAACCCTAAAGAACCCCCCAAGAAACCCTAAAGACACCCCTAAAGAAACCCCTTAGAAAAAAAAACAAACTAAAGAAACTCCTCAAGATACCCTAAACGGCAAATGCCTGGGCTTTGCCCGGACCCGCAATGACGACAGGCGACGCATCATCATCATCATCATCATCATCATCACCATCATCATCATCATCAGCATCGTCATAATCATCAAACCCTTTTTGAAGATCTTCCATGAATGTAGAAGTTTAGCGTGGGTGGGAGAATTAAACCATTCTTGAAGATCTTCAGTGAATGTAAAGTTTAACGGGGGTGGGAGAATTAAACCCGTATTGAAGATCTTCAATTAATGTAGAAGTTTAACGGGGGTGGAAGAATTAAACTCTTATTGAAGATCTTCAATGAAGGTGAGAATGAAACCCTTATTGAAGATCTTCATTGAATGTAGTTTAAGGGGGTGGGAAAATTACACCCTTATTGAAGATCTTCAATTAATGTAGAATTTTAACGGGGGTGGGAGAATTAAACTCTTATTGAAGATCTTCAATGAATGTAGAAGTTTAACGGGGGTGGGAGAATTAAACCCTTATTGAAGATCTTCAATGAATGTAAAGCTTATCGGGGGTGGGACTTTATTCCCTAATACCTTTGTTGTTTTCCCGTAGGAATTTATGGTTTAACCGGGGGGGACTTTAATATTCCCTAGTACCTTTGTTGATCTTCCCAATTGAATGTAAAGCTTAACGAGGGTGGGAGTTTAATATTCCCTAGTACCTTTGTTGTTTTTCCCATAGGAATTTAAGGTTTAACGGGGGTGGGAGTTTAATATTCCCTAGTACCTTTGTTGTTTTTCCCATAGGAATTTTGTGAAGTTGCATCAACATTTGTTTGGGAATGGGAAACCTCTACGCTGCAACCCAGGCGTTGCGCGTAACAAACCCCTAAAGAAACCCTAAAGAAACTCCTCAAGATACCCTAAAGAATCCCTAAAGAAACCTTAAAGAAATCCCTAAAGAAACCCTAAAGACACCCGTAAAGAAACCCTAAACAAACCCTGCAGAAAAAAAACCTTAAGAAACCCCTTATGAAACCCTAAAGAAACCCCTGAAGAAACCCTAAAGAACCCCCTTAAGAAACCCTAAAGAAACCCCTGAAGAAACCCTAAAGAAACCCTAAAGAACCCCCTAAAGAAACCCTATAAGGAAACGCTAAAGACTCCCTAGCGTGATGCTGAAGATGCAACATAGTCTTCAGAGGGCGGGGTTGATGTCTTGTGATGCTCAAGGTGCAACGTATTGTTCAGAGGGAGCGCGGGGCTGATGTCTTGTGATGATGCTCAAGATGCAACATAGTGCCCAGAGAGGGTGGCAGGGCTGATGCCTTGCAATCCTCAAGGGGCGACGTAGTGTTCAGAGGGGGTCGCTGGGTTGATCTTCGAAGATGCAGTATCGTGTTCAAAGGGGGTGGCGGGGCTGATGTCTCAAGGTGCAACGTATTGTTCGGAGGGGGTGGGGGAGTTGATGTCTTGTGATGGTGAAGATGCAACATAGTGTTCAGAGGGGGTGCCAGGGCTACTGTCTTGTGACCCTGAAGATGCAACATAGTGTTCAAAGGGGGTGGCGGGGACGATGTCTTGTAATGCTCAAGGTGCAGCGTATTATTCAGAGGGGGTAAGCGGATTTGATGTCTTGTGATGCTGAAGATGTGACATTTTTGTTTCGGAAGTTTTGGTTGCTGAATCGTGCATTCCGGTTCTTGAGTCGCACATTTAAGTTTTTGAGTCGGACCTTTTGTCTTTGGGTCGCCTCTCAGTTGGCTTTGGAATCGCGACGCGGTTTTGGTTGCTGAATCGGTCATTTTGGTTTCTACATCGGTCATTTTGGTTTCTTAAATTGGTCATGCTGGTTGCTGAAGCGGGTTTTCTTGATTGTTGAAGCGGTCAACGATCCTTATTCCTTTCATTCATTTCATTTGCGTCATTCGTTGGGCTCCTTGGCTTCTCGGCTTCTCGGCTTGTCCGGTGGCTTCTCGGCTTCTCGGCTTCTCCGGTGGCTTCTCGGCTTCTCCGGTGGCTTCTCGGCTTCTCGGCTTGTCCGTGGCTTCTCGGCTTCTCGGCTTCTCGGCTTGCCCGGCGGCTCCTCGGCTTCGCGGCTTCTCGGCTTGCTTGGTGGCTCCTCGGCTTCTCGGCTTCTCGGCTTGTTTCGTGCTTTTGGGCTTGTTTCGTACTTCTCCGCTTCTCGGCTTCTCGGCTTCTCGGCTTGTTTCGTACTTCTCGGCTTCTCGGCTTCTCGGCTTATTTCGTACTTCTGCCCCTTTTGCCCGTGCATTGACATTTTACTAAGATGAGGAGTGGGGTTTCCAAGAGCCTTCAAACGTTTTTGTTGCGAGCACCGCCAAGCAAAACATCTGCCGCATCAGTGCCATCAGAACCTGCCGCGGAGTCATCACCGCAAGTGGAAGTATGACAGTAGTCTCACAAAACGAGCGTTTTTGAGGCGTCATAACATCATCTGAGATGCCACTTTGCTGCACCTGCTACAGAAAAAAACATTTCTTCAGGCACTAATTAAATGCCCCACGCTTGCGAGCGTTTTTGCAACGCGCAGTTTCAAAATTGCGCAGAATCTTTTTGCGCTTGCCACCCAACATGCCCGAGCTCCGAAAATGGACAGTTCGGAAACCGAAGTCTTGCAGCAAAACAAATCATGCGTACTGCTTGCAAAATCGACATGGACAATGAAGATTCCAGACGTAACTTTTTTGCCTGTGCCCATCGATATGGCTTTCATTCCATCTGCTCCATGGCAACAATTTAAACACTTTCTACATCTTTCTACTGAGACAGACCTCGACAAAGGCGGCACAAATTTGATGAGCAAAACCGAAACAAAGAGGGGCACATGCAATCACATGCCACCCTCTCCCTGTCCTTGTCCACCTCACCATCCTCACCCAATGCAATCCGGTCTTCAACGCATTTGCTGCGTCCGTCTGGCTGTTCTTTCACGACGAATGATTCCTGTTTTGACACAACTTCACCAACACGCGCCCGGAAATGCCCACCTCACCTGGAAACCATTGACGCGTGACACCGGCTAGTTAAGCAAGAGCCAAACCCATTGAAACGACAGTGACGTGTTGTGGAAAGCAGACATGGTTGAATAAGTGGAAGCAATAGCATGGAACGTGACAACAGGGGATCAACAGCATAGAACAAAAAGAACTAGACGACAGTATGGACCGAAAGAAAGCAGGAGGGATACAAAAGAAAAAACAAAACAGGGATAAACAGGGTGTTGGTTCACCCCAGACCGCAACAGCCGGACAGCCTCCTCGGGAACCGTGGCGGTTGGGCCCTGATTGGAGGGCTGATTCGAATGATGGCCATGGCCATGATCTTGTTCTGCTGCTTGCTCTCCTTTGGTTTGGTACATATCATTGGCGGTGGCCCAAGCTCTCATCGCCTCAAACCATCATCCATTCCTTTTTGGCATGGTTGGATTTCACTGCAGCTGTTCCGTGTGAACCAAGTTGTTGTTGTTGTGTTGAAGCTTGTCATGGTCAGACTGATATCAAAATAATTTCATGCGTCTTTGAGGCCCGAACCTTGCCACATTGCCCCGAGCTCGCATTGAACTCTCGGATAATCTGCTTTGCATACGGGGCGTGGTGATCCGAGCAAGAAGCAATAATGACGAAGGCCCCTCTGCGAGTTTCAGCTTTGATCCTGGTTCCTTGCAGGCGTTGCAAAACAAAAGCACAGCCAACGCATTTTGATTTCTGGTATGTTCTGGTCAAATTCTTCCACAATCCCGGAAGCTAAATGAGCCCCCGGCTTAAATCTTCAGGCTTCACACGCTTGAAGGTTGGATCTGGTACGGCTGTGCTGTCAAAGGGGTAAAGCCGGTGGTTGTAGGCGTGGGTCCTTGGTGGCACGCTGTATGATCACCTACAAGTTCATGGCCCACACATCAATTCTCAGGCCCCAGCACATCTTCCTCAAGAGCTGGCCATTCAAGATATGTATTTTCTCCCCCAATGTGGGGCTGGATCCCGAAAATGGTCAATCCTTCAGGAACTTGTTCGAAAGTGTGACAAGCAGTTGCATTGCCACAAACATCAAGAACGGCAGTCGGTCCTGTGGCTCCCTCGTCGATGCATGTCATGATTATGTCCAATACGGTGTCTCTGTAGAAGGAAAACCACGTATGGGCACGTACTCCGGTGTTCTTCGGCATTTCCTGCAGCTTGCACATCTTGCACACTGACTACAAGTAGTGGCTAGGGCGAATGCGGCAGATGAGAAACCTTTTCCTTTGGCGGTTTTGGCAGCGCTAGACTCCCTGTGCACGTCTATATAAGGGGCGGGCTACCTGCAAGCCAGCCAGTTTTGAACGCTGCTGCTTTGCTTTGTGAAAGAAAGGGAGGATGCGCTTGGCCTTGGAAGAGCAAAACTGGCCGCCACCGAAAAACAGTTGGGGTTTGCAGAATGCGGAATCTCAAAAGTGCAGCAGAGCAAGCTCCGTAGGGCGCGGACAGTCCCTTGAGTGTCTTTTTTGATTTTGTTGTGGTGCCTGACGTCATGTTCTACATAGCCAGTATCCGCTTCCAAACACATGGCGACAATGGCAAAGGTCCGTCCGGCAGTTTCATGGGCCAAGGTTTCACCTTGGTTTCAATTAAACGACCCACTGACCACTCAGAGCAGTTCAAACATGTTCAAAACATCAATCACACTGTCTTCATCTGTCTTCCTTTCACCATTCATCACCATTCATCACCATTCATCACCATTCATCATAATCCAGCTCGTTTTCCTTCCTGGTTTCTGCCTGAGTTCCTGGCTCAAAGCCTCCTTCGTCACTTGCTGGAACTGTATATTGCTGAAATCGATCAGCCGCTCACCGAAGTCCACAAAAGGAGCTTTTTTCTTCAAGTGCGCCTTGTACCTGAAAGAATTTCTAGGCCACATTAAATTTGCTTCGAAACTCTACCAGAACAAGTCCACTAAGCCGCTCACAGGTCTTCCTGCAATAATTTCCACCTTGCTGGCTTCTCATGGATGGCCGACTTCATTCCAAGAATCAACACTCCTGCAGGAAGGCTTCGTTCTGTTCCTTGTCAAAGTAAGCATTTTGACAAAACAAAAGTCGGAACGGCCGTCCTTTCGCACCATCATCCACTGCTGTCCGAACAATTGCAAACATACTGTGGCGATATCGGTCATAGGACTCCCCCTGACAGCGCAGCTCTACCAGAAAGGTTCTGCATGTGGAACCATTGGCGCATACACACAGGCCTCAACTCTTAAGAAGGCTTCTTTCTCCTCTCTCTCCTCGAGAATCTTGCGAACTCACTGCGCAACGGTATGCTTACAAAATGTTACAAACATGTGCACTGCGCTTAGCGCTCCTGTCTTTGCTTCCTCTTGCGACGCACTATGCAACAGGTCAAAACCATTGTGGCAAATACAATGATAGGGCCGATCCTGTCAAACAAACTGCTCCAGTCTGATGGCTCGGTGTCTTCAAAAAACAATAATACCACTGACATAGTGCATCTGATCCGACCCATTGAAGAGCTATAGATGAAATAAAGAAGATAGCTACTTTGGCCGACAACTGTTTTTTGTGATCGAATCTTGCTTCCACAAGTGCATTTCATCGGTGCTGACTCTTGTTGATCGCCAAAAAACGTGCACAGAGCTTCGGCAAAGATTTCGGTCCGTTAGGTTTCTGCATGCAATCGCGGCAAAAATCCATTTTTGAAACAGTCCACTTCGAAACAAATGAACTGACCCGCTCCTACTGTCACACAAGTCTCGAAATCTACGCTGGGAAGGGAGGCGATTGTGTCTAGTCGAGCTTTTGGAAAGGAGTAGAGCAGTGAGAAGAAGGCATCTGCATTTTGCCAGTCAGGCTGAAAGGGAAGGGGACGAAAGGTAGGTCTGTCAGGAGAGATGCGGAAGGAGAAATGGCAGTGGGAGATACGGGAGGTAGCCAAAGGAAGTTTCACAGCGAAGGGGATGAGAATGCAAAGGAAAGAGCTAGCCCGGCAAAGAGATAGCAAGGCCAGAGGGTATAGCTAGGTAATCAGGTAGCCGGAGCAAAGAGATAGCCAAAGAAAGAGAGCTAGCCAGAGAAAGAGGGATAGCTAGCCAGAGCAAGAAATAGTCAGAGAAAGAGCTAGCCAGAACAAGAGTTAGCCAGACAGGAACTAGCCAGAGCGAGAGTGAGCTAGAGCTAGAGCTGCCATAGCAAGAGACGGCCAGAGAAAGAAAACTAGGCCAAAAAAAGATAGCCACAGAGCAAGATATAGCCAGAGAAAGGGCTAGCACAGCAAAGAGGAGAGATAGACATCTCTTCTATCCAAACCCTGTCTACATGTGCGATACCTGCTAACACAAAGCGCATCGATTTCTGATTTCTTCTTGGTAGCAACACCCTGCTGGAAATCCATGTGAAAAAAGAACAGAAAAAATTGGACATTGCTCATCTATGTTACTAATATGCAGAATCCCTCCGCATGTCGCCAACTAGGACGCAAACCCAAAAGAAATATCAATGTGAACAGGGGGGCGCAAATTTTAGTTCGAGATTAAAACAAGTCATTGGGTCTGGCTCAGCACCGCCCCCAATATATTCCGAAAGGAAAGCAAACTCCAGCTAGCAAACTCGCTTTCGTGGTTTGCTAGTCTTGCCAGACAGGGCATTGCTCCTATGTAGCCAAAAACCAGTGGATGGGAGGTCGTGTTTGCTCTATATCAAATTCTTGTGGATCCGAAAAGGTCTTGGAAACCGTTCACAAAAGGTAACAACATGTCACAAACCGGGACTATGCAACACGTTACCGTAGCTCTGGCCGCAATTTTGACATGCTGTTACATGCTATCACATACTGTTACTATACCTGGGAGCTTCCCAATACTGGAATTTTGAACTCCAAACCCAAAAAAACAATTTAGGGGTTGGTGTGGAAAAAAAAACACCGGAGTTGTTTTTGTCGTTCCGGACACTTCGGACGTTCTGGAATGGAAAAAAAAGTTCAAAGAGCGTTCAAAACACGTTTAAAAACGTTCGAAACCGTTTGGAAGCGTTCAGAAGCGTTCTGGAGTTAACACAAGCGGTCTGCAGTGGAAATAACCGTTCAATTTTTTTCCTCTTGAATTTGGCAAAATTGATCGATTCTGGCGTTGGTGTGGAAACTTCAACAATCAAGAGGATCCAGGATAGTTATCCGCCGACCCCGCTTGCAGCGGGGGAGCGCGTCAGAGCGTTCGAAACCGTTTGGAAGCGTTCAGAAGCGTTCTGGAGTTAACACAAGCGGTCTGGAGTGGAAATAATCGTTCAGGAATTCTTTTTCTCTTGAATTTGGCAAAATTGATCGATTCTGGCTTTGGTGTGGAAACTTCAACGATCAAGAGGATCCAAGTAACAGTTATCCGCCGACCCCGCTTGCAGCAGGGGGAGCGCGTCAGAGGAGAAATTACCAGCAGCAAGGGCCAAGAAGTCATTACAAGCAGCAAGGGCAAGACGCAAGAAACAAGAAACAAGAAGCCAGGAAGCAACAAGAAGAAGAACAAGAAAACGAAGAAGACGAAGAAGAAGAAAAGAAGAAGAAAAGAAGAAGAAGAAGAAGAGGAAGAAGAAGAAGACGAAGAAGAAGAAGAAGAAGAAGAACAAGAAGAAGAAATGAAGACCGCAATTTGGATTGGAGCTAGTTTCTTACCAGCAGCAAGGTGCAAGAAGTAATTACAAGTAGCAAGGGGCAAGAAGCAAGAACGCAAGAAACAATTAAAAACAGCAAGCGGCAAGAAGCAAGAAGTTAGGAAGCAAGAAGAAGTTTGAAGGCAGCAATGTGGGGCTAAGGCTCTTCCGGGGCAGCCCCGAAACTAGCAAATAGCAAGCTTTTGGAAGCTATAGTTTCGTGTCATTTCAGAAAGCAGCGTTAGGCAGCATAAGCTGCAGGCCGCGGGCCAGTTCCGTCCTTCAACAGCATGGGGCTAAGGCTCTGCGGGGGCAGCCCCGCAACTAGGAACTAGCTAGCTTTTGGGAGCTAGTTTCTTGTCCGTTCAGAAAGCAACGTTAGGCACCGTAAGCTGCAAGCTGCGGGCCGGTTGCATCCTTCAGCAGCATGGGGCTAAGGCTCTGCGGGGGCAGCCCCGAAACTAGCAAATAGCAAGCTTTTGGGAGCTAGTTTCTTGTCCGTTCAGAAAGCAACGTTAGGCACCGTACCTATAAGAGCAAATACTACTAAATTTAGTTTTCAAATAATTTACTATGGTTAGTAAGCTTTAGTTGGAAAAAATTACGTAAATCAAACCTTCTTGGAAAAATACAGACAATGCAAAGTACATTATTCACAATGCAAAGTACATTATTCATAATGCAGTTTGCATTGTTCCTCAATTAAATGTTCATTTAGTAATGCTACTAAATTTAGTTTCCAGCTAAATTTAATGTCAACATCCTATTAATAACCCCCCCTCAAACATTAAGAGCATCACAAAAAAGTTTAGGCCAAACATTCAACTAGGCTTAATATAAAAAGATCAAACCTATGTATTCCCAAATGAATTGCCTAATTGAAAAACGAATACATACTGTTGACATTAAAGGGAACCTTCTTTCCAGACCTATGTGTTCCCAAATGAATTGCCTAATTGAAAACGAATACATAAGGGAACTTTCCAAAAAAAATCACCTATGTATTCCCAAATGAATTGCCTAATTGAAAACGATTACATAAAGGGAACTTTCCAAAAAAACACATATCTATTCCCAAATGAATTGCCTAATTGAAAACGAATACATAAAAGGGAACTTTCCCAAAAAAAACCTAATTAATTAATTTATTAATTAACTAATTAATTACTTATGTCTTCCCAAATGAATTGCCTATTTGAAAACGAATACATAAAAGGGAACTTCCCCCCCCAAAAAACTACTTTAGCATTCCCAAATGAATTGCCTAATTGAAAACGAATACATAAAGTGAACTTTCTTTCTACTTTAGTATTCCCACATGAATTGCAAAAAATAGACAAATGAAATCCAAATACTTTATATAGGGGGTTCAAACATTCCTTATTATTTTGATGTTAAGGATGGACAAATATTTCAGAATACTTTATTTAGGGGTTGAGTATACTGACACATTGTTGTGATGTCAAGGGTGCACAAATATTTCAGAATACTTTATTTAGGGGAGTGCAAACATTCATTATTATTTTGATGTGTAGGGTGCACAAATATTTCAGAATACTTTATTTACGGGGGGTGTCCAAACTGATACATTATTTTGATGTGTAGGGTGCACAAATATTTCAGAATACTTTATTTAGGGGGGTGTCCAAACTGATACATTGTTTTGATGCCAAGGGTGCACAAATATTTCAGAATACTTTATTTAGGGGGGTGCAAGCATTCATTCTTATTTTGATGTGTAGGGTGCACACATATTTCAGAATACTTTATTTAGGGGGGTGTCCAAACTGATACATTATTTTGATGCCAAGGGCGCACAAATATTTCAGAATACTTTATTTAGGGGGTTGCAAACATTCATTATTATTTTGATGTAAAGGGTGAAACAAATGAATTGCCTAATTGAAAACGAATACATAAAAGGGAACTTTGTCCCCCCAAAAAAACTACTTTAGCATTCCCAAATGAATTGCCTAATTGAAAACGAATACATAAAGTGAACTTTCTTTCTACTTTAGTATTCACAAATGAATTGCCTAATTGAAAATGAATACATAAAGTGAACTTTCTTCCCACTTTAGTATTCCCACGTGAATTGCAAAAAATAGACCCCTGAAATCCAAATATATAATTACTTTATTTAGGGGAGTACAAACATTCAGTATTATTTTGATGTTAAGGGTGGGAAAATATTTCAGAATACTTTATTTAGGGTTTGAGTATACTGACAAATTATTGTGATGTTAAAGGTGGAAAACTATTTCAGAATACTTTATTTGGGGGTTGAGTATACTGACAAATTATTGTGATGTTAAAGGTGGAAAACTATTTCAGAATACTTTATTTGGGGGTTGAGTATACTGACACATTATTGTGATGTTAAGGGTGGAAAAATATAGTTCAGAATATATAGTTTATTTAGGGGGGGCAAACTGACACATTAATTATTTATTTTGATGACACATATTTGAGGTTCAAATTTGAGAAGATTTGAATCAGTTTTTTCGATTTGTAATTTGCTTGATTTTAGATTGAACTGTAAATTTTTAGATTCCAGCGCCAGCTCGTTTGGAGAACCTTTCAGATACATGCTTGAGATTACATGCTGCCTATGGAGGACCTGTAGGTACTGTACAAAAGGGGTCTGCGGCAGGGGGCGGCAGCCCTTTTATAACATGCTATAACTTTTTGCCATTCTTCTGCACTTCTGCAACACCCAAAGCTCTCCACAGGACAGCGTGCTATACAACCCAAGCACGAAATCAAGACAATCATCAGCACATCCACTCCAGGCGCAGCAGCCTGCGAAAACAATCTTGCTCAGCAAGATGAGTCGGGGTGAGTTTGGGTCACGTCGCAAGCGTAGACAGCATCTGACTGGCATGTCACTTTGTAATGAGCTTCTCACGAGCACGAAGGTAGACAGGTGTGTGGTCCGGCACCAAGTCCCATCCCATGGCCTCAAACATTGCCAGCTCTGCTGCTCCTAAGATGAGGAATACGTTGCTTAGGAACTGACAAATCGGTGTCGGGGTACATCACTCTCAGCTCCAATTCTTCAAGCACTTCCGTACCTGCTTGCGACCATTTCTGCTGCGCCTTGGCGCGCGGGATTTTTTTTTCGAAATTTTCGGGGTCTATCTCGACAAGAGCAGTAGCACAATCAAAACCAAATGCGAACACAAACCTTTCGTAAAATTCATCACAATTCTGGCCCCCCAGATATCTTCATAAGCATGCAACATCAAAAATTCAACGCTTGGTCACCATGTCAAGGGACAAAATCAAACCACAGGCAGCGATCACCAGCACTTGGTTTTGAAGCGGACAAGCCTTAGGCAGGTTTCAGAATTCATTTTCTCTTGTAGTCGACAATATCGGCCAACTTCACCAACGACCAAGTGCGGTTCAAGCGTCGGATTGCGATCGGACTGCCGCAATTTATTTCAGCGACCGAGATTGAACCTTGCATTTCCTGCAAAAGGACTGGATTTTGTTTTTCGTTTTCTAGACAACAAAACGCAAAACTCCCCGAAATAAGTGTTCAAATAAAAGGACAACACACATGTCCTTCAGCACAGACACATCTACAACTTTTGATCTGTACTCGGCCTCAAAACGGATTGGCAAACGTCAAAATATCAAATGCCTGTAGAACCCACACGGACATGTTTTTCCCAAGGCATTGTGCTTTCGTAACGCGCAGCTGAAAAGCAGGGAAGGCAAAAACAAGTTGGCAGATGGCTGAACACGCCGGGTCGATGCTTGTTTCCATTTGTTTCCACGCTGGGGAGCAGACCGGCACAGTCTCTCCAACTGCTTGGGTCGGCAGTCGATTGCTCAGCGCATCAGCGATCTCACTGGCAACCAGCCAGGCTGCAGCACTGCCTGTGTCATCCTGCGAACACGCAACGATGTATGTCAGATTCAAGTTTGGGTGACTCACGGCATCACATCTCTTGTCAAAATTGTTGCCTGGGCCCAAGTAAGCCAAGCCACGCAATGCGCAGGAAAGGACACCTGAAGCAAATGAACCCAGATTTACCCAGGCATTATCCCGACAGCGGAATGGTAGGTAGTAGCGTTGCGTTTGACAGGCATAGCGCTGTCTCTCCGGGGAACCCAAATGCCCCAAGCACCCATGTCCGGAACCTTCTCAGGAACCCACGCCGAAAGGCGCCTTGAATCTTTATCGGGACTGACTGCGAAGTTGTTTTTGAAGACGGAATGGCACGGCCAAATGCGAATGCAAGGCAAACCCTTTTGCCGTGAGGAGCGAGCCAGAATGGCTTAGGCCTGTCATACGAATTGGATTCGCACTGTACACGTGACATGCCAACTGCACATGCTATGGACCCTAAAGCAACAGCAGATCTTTCTCAGCTGGTATGTTTTCTTCTTGATGAAGAGTCCATGGCCGTGGCATAAAAATAGCCACCAACACTGCAGCCGTATCGCAGATTGCCTCATGTCGGTTTGGCAATTCAACGTAAGGGTCTTTGGATTCAAGCTTCCTCCGTTCCCCACTGTCATTTGAATCAACAAACTTCCCAGAAGTCATAAGTGCTTCAGGCGTTCTGAACGCCTTTGCATTCTTTGCTGCTGCTACATGCACAAGATACAGGTCTTTCTTGTGCCATCCAGGTTGGTCTCCTAAGCTAAGCAGGTGGCCATGCATCGGATCTGCGCTATCAACTGGACTACCAAGCGAGGCTTTGCTACAATCCATTTCGGCTGCTTTGGCCGGTTTCTTGACCAATTGCTTTACAAACCCGGGTGAGAAAGTTACGCTCCACTCATTGGACTGCAGGATGCGACTCATGTGGTCGAGCTCAATCAACTTAGTGCCGCCATCCGCAAACATGTATTGCATGCTTGTCCATGACATATATGGTTTCCTTTCTCGACGCACTACGCAACCATGCAATTGTGAAGGCCAATGACTTCTGACTCGGTGGGTGTGTCACTGTTGCGTGTGTCGAAATTTTCCTTGGCATCCGTCACCAATTGCAAGGCACCAATTCAGCGCTCATCTCGGCTGCGCGATGCTCCATATAGGATAGCCCAGCAATTCAGCCAAAGCGCCACGACTGTATTGCCCTGCGTCTAATCCTTCTTCGGAGCTCAGCAACTCTGCTCCAAAGTGGAGCGACACGCTCTTCCAAGTCGATGACTTCTCGCATCGACCAAGTTGAAACGGCTTGGGCGGCCATTCACCAGGTTCTTGTCAACAACATGATGAAGTAGGTGGCCTGGCTGCAGACGCGGGCCATCAAACCACCATCATGCAGCACTTCCGCTCTTGCAAACGTTTCCCAGAGACGCATCGGTCACCACCAGCAAACTAGAAGACTCAAGGTCAATGGGCAGGTAGCTCAAAGCAAAGTTGGAATTCTGTTGGCCTGCCTGACCAACGCATTTGCTTTGATCAAAGTGCTCACCACCTTCCGATCACCTTGAAGTGTAGACAGCTGGTAGCCTATAGTCCACATGCACTTGCGAAACAAGCCACTACTGCAAACTTCCAAGAATCGCTCGGCGCTGCTTGATCCGTCTGGTGTCAACGGCGAATCTGGCTCTTTCTTGCGATGCAAAAACACACGGACTGGACGGAGGTTCTCGTGGTACTCAGTACTCAGTCATGTTCATGGAGATGGGAAAGTTCTCCTCCTTCTGGGTGATGCGCTTGCCGCAATACATGAAGCTTCCGCTTTCCAAACTGCCAAAACCAAGCTCTGTGCCAAGCTCATCCAAAAGTTGTTTTGCACGGCGGCTTCCAAGGTCATCGACATGGCTTATGACGATACCTTCCAACTCACCACCACAGAAGCCACATGGCGCTGTCTATGATAGAGCAATGCCATCGAAGTCTGGTCAAAGACTTGTGGCGCCGTAGGTGCCATCTTCTCGGACCGTTTGCCAAGCCCTTCTTCAGTCTTGCTAACTGACCGTCTCCAATGGCAGACGTGTCATGGCTCATCAGCATCACCAGTTCGAATTTGTCCAATGTAGAAGGCGGCTTGGACATCCGCACTGTAAAGTCGCCAGCGCTTCGAACTGCTGAAGACCAAGACATAGTGAAAGCTCACTCTGGAACAGGTTGGAGCGTCCTTGCGGACAGCATAGGCAGTGACGTCTCGAAATCCTGGGAAAAGAAGCCGTTCACTGGCCTTGAAAGGAGGCAATATTTTGCTTTGTTCACCTCTGGCCTTCAAACGTGCTTGGACTGCTTTGGTATCACGTTGATTCAGAAGCTCAATCGCTTCATTGTCTACACACGCTTGCCGTCCTGCCTTAGCTGCTTCTCTGAATCCGGCTTCATATCCTTCCACTTGTGCTCCTTGAGCGCCGTCTGGACTGCATAAACTTCAGGACGACTGCAAGGCCAAGTCAACCCATAGCGTCCATGAGTTTCCCAGTCAGTTAGTTCAGTTCTGGAAGGGGTGGGCCATCTTCCGCCCCACGAGGCATGATCTTCAACCACATGCTCCAAAGGACCGTGTCGATCTTGTTTGGCAAGATTGGCAATGACGCTCAAAGGGTGTTCGCTGCCGGTCATCACCTGCTCAACTTACAAGGTTGCATGTTCAGCCGGGCTGGCTGATTGCGAAGGCATGGCAGGTTCAGCTGAACCAGTCGTCGTGCGTGGCTCAAATCCATCCGCACGCTCGGCATCTTGCAAGGCCGCAGTTGCAACTTCAGGCGCGCGTTTGTGCTCATCATCATCCACCAAACGTCCAATAGCACTTTCAGTGCGAGAACTCCTCGCACTGGCAAAGGTGTTTTCGGCTGACTATAGTCAAGCTTCCACGTCCATGCAAGGGTTGACTCAGCAAACTTGATCTCCTGAACGGTGGTGCACTAACCAAAGCTGGTTGAACTGCAGGTCAACTCTTGGGGTTGCACAGGCGCCTGAGAAACATCCAAAAAGGCTCGGAAGGTTGACCGGCCTCTGGTAAAACGTCAGGTTCAACCTCAAGTGGGGGCAAATTGTCCCGCATTGCAGATTCAACAGCAGCTCCCATTCATCTGCGGTGATGTGCTCCATGGTCGAAGCACGACGGACATGCTCAAGCGCCGTCTTCTAATCCCTTGTGGGAAATGAAACTGTTGCTATGCCCTTCCAAGCAAGCCAGGGCCATGCCAGCGTTTCATCGAGAGCTTCTTCTTCTTCTTCGAGGGTCCAGTCTTGGATTTTTGTACTTGGACATGCGATAGTAGTAGACTATCATGCCAGGCTCAAGCTCTTGCGTGACAGTTGATGTTCTGGAGCGCGCCAATTCTGCTCGGCGAAGGCCACGAGAAAAGTGAAGTCGCAGCATAGCTAACTTTGCCACCTCTCGCATTGCAACCTGTCTCGCTATGCAAGGCCTGCACTCCACCAAACCATGCTCAGCAAGTCGCTGACCAAAGTCTCCAAGCACATCTCCAACCATGCGCGGTTGTTTGCCAAGCGCTGCTGACCATGGCTTCCTGCAATGCTGTTTCCATCTCTTCACGTCCAACAACTGACTGACTTTTGACGATGACTGCTGTGATCGCTTTGAGAATGCCACCTCTTTCGCGCAAATTCCATTCTGCCAGGGGCTTTGAACAGCTGTATGCCACAAAAGAAAGCTATGTTGGGCAGCCATCTCTTCAAACTTCCATGACATGAACTCTCTCCCCTGGTCGGCTATGAGCACCCGTGGGGGGCCAAAAATCGGCATCCGTCGCCGCTTCACAAACTGCACTGAATCTGCGGATTTGTCAGTGAGTATCTCACTCATCTGGAAACGGCTGACCGCATCAATGATATGCACCACATAGAAACGAGTCTCACCTAAATCCTCGACTTCGAAGATGTCGATGTGCACCTGGTCTCCACAATCTTTTGGAGTTGGCAAACTTGCTGGTCTGCGAGCTTTTGGCGCTTTCCGCTCCTGGCAAACAGAGCACTGCAAGGTTTTCGCTGCAATGATTGCTGGAGCTGGCGCGGCAGCTATTGCAAGTGCACGGGCAAGACGTCTCTGCGACCTGTGCACGGTATTGTTGCGCAGCTTTCGAACAGAATCTTTCACAGGTCTCGCACTTCCATTGGTGGATCAATTTCGCGATCCAAATCATCTTCAATGTCTCCCTCCTCCACAGCCATGGTTTCATGAGGTATTTGACGTTGAGATTGTTCAAATTAAGGATGATTTCATTGGCGAGCTCCTTGGTGTAGAGACATGCAGTTGATGTGACTTTGCCACCACCAAGCACATGCTCATGCTCATGGTCACGTAGACAGCGACGGCCATCTAATCTGCGTGCAATTGCTTCTGAACATGTTGCAATCTTGGTAGGTTTCTTGTGAAGCAAGCCAACATTGATTAAAAAACGGTTTGATGGCATTCCAAACGTTGCAAAAGTTTCTTCAACTGGGAAGATTGCAAGACTCAGCAATTAGCGGGTCCTCCAAAAGAAAATGACGACCTTGAGACAGTTGGAGTTCTGCAAGTTCAATGGCATACTTGATCAGCTTGATGCCTTCAGCACGTCTTTGTTCAGGGTCACGCGCAGGGTTGAGGCGCATGAGTGCTGACCAAGGTCCGCAGGGAAGGCACAAACAAGTAGGTATGGCTTCTCCCTCTCCACCACCAAAAGGCCTGCTTTGCGATTGGCCAAACGCCGAAAATCCCAACCTGTCTCAAGTGACAGTGCAGAACCAACTGAATGCCCTTTTGCTGAAGCTTGCTTGATCACCCGTTGCACAATTGTAAAAACTTCTGAACCAAAAACACCATGATGGGGCAGTGGCGTCAATTCCAAGGACGCCACGAAGGCTTCATTCATGAAAGATTCCATCTCCTACTTCCACTCCATCTCCATGACCGCATGAACGTCACTCTTGGAAATCAACTTCCTAGCTTGGTCATGTTTCTGCCAAGCCTGAGAGATCAAAAGCGCCTGGCCCTTCTTGATACCATCAGCACAGAGACTGCCTCATCCCCAGGGGTTCGAAATCCATCATCCCTGGCCTCAGGAAGTAGTCCATGAGGTCTTGAAGTCCAATGGGATGAGGTCAGCCCAGAAAGTCCATGGTGGCTCAAAGACTCGGATCTCTGGGTCTCTGATCTCCTTTCCGCCTCCGTCATCCAATCCAACTCCTCGCCATACTCTTGCCGCATCTGCTCGTCCTGCAGCTCTAGGTGATGCAGCCCGTTGATCTCGTAGAGCTCCTCCTCCGTCAGCTGGAAGTTCTGTGGGGTTGCTTGGACGTAAGCTGCTGCGACGTCCTGAGAGTATGGAGTTTGCAAAGACGCCATCACCTGCAGCATCGCTTGGGACAACATGCTTTGAACTCGTTGGTCTTGTTGAGCGAACAGCTGCTGAATTTCCTCGGCTGTCAAACCGGGGCTCGGTGCACTGGCTTAAGCGGGAGCTGGAACTTCTGGAAGTGGCTGAGCAGACGTGAGCAGAGGATGTTGCACCATTTTGATTTGCTTTGGGTCTTGCTCCCTTGCGCTGGCTTGAGGCATCGGCGGCCGCTTTGCTTTTCGCCGCTGTCGGTGGACCTTTCAAAGTCTCGATCATGGGCTTGATCAGCTGCTTGAAGTCGTTCACCTTCATGGAATCGTTCACGTCGAGCCTCAGCAAAGTTGCCAGGCGCAGCAAATCGCCCCTTCAAGGTCGGCAAACCGCCCTTGGGTCCAATCAACTGTCTCACAGCTTCTTCGCGTTGGACTTTTGTTTCCAGCTTCGCAAGTTCTTGCTTTGCGTCCTCGATTAGAGCCTTTCGAATTCGAGCTGCTTGGCCCTTTGCTGACTTTGCGGCCAGCAATCCACCCAATATGGGATCAATTGGTTGGTCAGATTTCGGCAATCTTGGAGATTCTTTGCCGTACGCAAGTTTTGGTCCAGCGCTTTCTTGCCATGGCTCGCAACCATGACCTTCTTTGCTAACATGTCTTTGGTCTGTTGAATCCACTGTTCCACAGAGGCTGTTGCATGGAAGAAATCTGATGGCAGGCCGCTGCACAAGCCATAAGAGCAAGCCAAAGGCGTGCCATCGTGCCCTCTTGAACGAGAGGCCAACGACATTGGCAATGCAACAAAGGCAAGGAAAATTGCGCAGCGTGGATGCCCTTGTCAATGACTAAATGTTCATGACCGCTGACATCAACATCAAACTGTTTGCATGGCTGATGAAACTTCTTTGAAAACCAATCACTGACTGACAACTGCTGCTCAATAATTCTATCTGCACCCCATCGACGAAAACGTTGAGTGCCAAGCCTATGGAACCAAATTGAGGGCGAAGCGTCTTGCAGCGACTTGGGAAAGCTCTATTAGCTTGCAATTTTCCATCAAGGAAGTCAGGCCGCAACTTTTGGTTGGTGAAGCTCACAACGGCTCCAATTCCATCCAAAAAACCACGACCAAGCAAAAGGCTTAAACTGGGAACCTTGACGACACTCCCCCAAACAGCGACCAAATTGTTTCCAACCATCATAGGCAAACGATACCTGATGTTGTTCCTCTGTGTGCCACCGTTCCCAAAACGGAACAACTAATCTTCCTGGGCCGTGGCCATCATGGCTTGGATATGTTGTAGGCGCGTTGCAAGGTGTGCAGGTAGTGCTTCAACCATGTCTCACTGGCACATGTTCTGCTGCAAGCAAGCTCAGTCAAGCTGACCTTCGGGATTTTAAACGAAAGACCCTAATAGGTTCGCTATCTGGGAAAATTGTCACCAGATATTTTCGCTAATTTTTCCTAATTAATGCAACTGCTTTGTCTTTTGCCAAGCCAGGCACGCAAGGATTCTCCCGCTTTGAGGAACTGAGAGCTTCGGCAAAGGGAAGGCTGCCGGGGTTCACCATCATCACTTCATGGGAACCCATGTCATCATCATCTATAACATGCTCTGTGTTCAGCCTCTCAGCAACCTTCACTTGTTTGCCACCAAACTCAGAAGACTTCTTGCCAGCACCTTTGGGCTTGAGCAAACCAGCGCCAGGCTTTGGACATTGCACATCACCTCCCCAATGGCCATATTCAATATTCACCGCAGTCCTAACACTGCGTTCGGCCCTTCTTCTTCTTCTTCTTATCAACTTGGTTGCCGTTGAGCTTGGTTTTGGGGCCATTTGCATTTCGGTGATAGCCTCTGTCCTTCTTGATCTCATTGATACCCGATCTAGCCTCGCGTATAGTCACCAAAGACTCGCCGCTTGCTCCACACCGGTCTCAAGACCTTCAAGCACCGACGCTTCTACCTCACCTGACTCCTCAAGCTCTTGAATTTCTGCTGCCAAAACCTCAGCCTCAGTCTGAAACACCTCCTCCAAACTTGGAACATCTTGGCCGGTCTCATCCGACACCAACTCATCTTCGCCCTCTTCATCTTACGCATCGTCTCCATCCTCAACACATAGATCTTCCACTGCTAGCACTGGAACTTGGCTTGAAACGGAAACTGCTTGAGGCTTTGAAGGACTTCAAAGAAGAGTTGCTGCTGGATGGAACTCCTTGGCGGTGTCCAGCGTGAGATTGGTTGGACGGATTCAGGAAACGTTGCAGAGGTGACTGTCGCTGATCTCCATGGCTATTGTTGAAAGGCTTCGGCTTCATCAGCGGGTCGGCCACATGCAAATCACGAAACAACCGGGAAACCTCAATTTCAACTTGATTATATTCTTCTCGACCTGCAAGAGCTGTTTCAAGTAATTGCACACGCAAGGCATCCAGACCCAACCGGTCTTTCAGGAACCATCTCAACTCCTCACTTGGAAGGGCAATCCCCTCGTTCTTCACCTCACCAGTCAAAGTCCGGTAGTGCGCGCCAAAGGTTGCAATCGCTCGCCTGGAGATCGGCGGATGCTCTGGTAAAGCTGCTTTCTCAGCTCACCTTTTCTATCCAGCGCTGTCTTCCCCATGCTTTCTTCAAGGGACTTCAAAAGTTTGTTCAAGCCGCTGAACGGGTCAGCTGGTGTCACAACTGTCAGCGTTCCAGTGTCAGTCTGCTCTTTCAAGTGCTGCTGTGCCAGCTAAAGCGGCTGGGTCAAACTCTTCACATCGAGCTCGGAAAACTACAGACTGCCACAAAGCCCATCGACCCGCCACATTGTACTTGGCACAGGCACAGCTAACTGGATCAAGTGATGCGACCCACCAATCCATTTCACGTTTGAAAGCCCTCTGTTCAGAAGGATCACCTGACCAAACTGGAACCTTGTACCAGGACGATGTGTCCTTTCCTTCTTCTGCCATTCGGCTCACGCAGAAGGGGGTGGCCAAAAAAAATGGCCTGCAAAAAGGAAAACTCAAATGACCTCCGGAAGAACCAGGTCAACGTCGAGGCAGGTCGCCGTTGAAGCCTGATTCAAAGATATTCAAACGTTATGTTATGACCTAGTTGTCACTGGCACGCTAGTTCGTGCCCAGTGTGGAAAAAATCCAGACCCCTGCTACCACCAATGAAATTCCACCACAACCACACCGTAGGACTCCACAAGAGCCAGGGCAAAGTTCAGGAAAAAGCCAGCGATGTGCAAAAAGGTCAAATGCCAAAGCTAGGTCGGACATAACAACAGCGCCTTAGGCCAAAATGATGTTGATGTAGACCTCTCAACCACAAGGAACTATGCGATGATCTCAAAGCAATCACTTAACGCAAAGTCAATGAAGTAGTGGGCGGCAGCCAAAGATCGAAGCAAGCGAAGCAGCGCAGCAAGATTGAAACCAACGGCTCCGGTGCCACTGAAGACGCAATGGCACGGCCAAATGCGAATGCAAGGCAAACCCTTTTGCCTTGAGGGGCGAACTAGAACGGCTTAGGCGTGTCATACGAGTTGGATTCGCACTGTACACATGACATGATCATGCCAGCTGCACATGCTATGGACTCTGAAGCAACAGCAGATCTTTCTAAGTTTTTTTAAAAAAATCGGTTCTCTTTTCCATTCTTTTCCTTCCTCTGTCAAGTGGCTTGCCGCAGGTTGCCAAAGTCCACACTGATACCCCTTGCCAAGGTGCAATGAGCGGCGACGTATTGCTAGCATTGCTGTTTCTTAAGACCTAGGGTTGCCACAGGCCCAATGGTCGGGCGGCTTGCTACCAGCACCATCGTTCACACCTAGCTTAGGATATGAAACTCAAAACTTTTGCATTCAGCGACGATTCAACGAAAACTGTGAAAGCTGCTGCATTCACCTCCATAATCTCTATACACTGATTCATAGACGCGCATACATGTGTCTTGCATCCGTATGTTCTTCAGCTTCGCCATCTGCTGTTCTCGACAAATTGCCACAGGATCATCTGGGACAGCATCCAACTTCACACCAAACACCTGAACTCAAATTTGGCACAAACGCGCATGCCAAGAAATCCTGCAAAATCTGTACAGGACAATCGCATGAAAGAGCATGGAACACAAGCCAAACGGCAAGTAGGAATTCTATGAAACCTTGCGGCCAAGTTGCAGGCCCACTGGACGTCTGTGAATCAAAAGACTGCTGCTGGTCTATGGTGGCCTGCTGCGTTAATTTCATCTGGTCCTGCGAGGCCCATGATCGCAACTTGGATCCTTTTTGAGTCTCTTTAGAGATCCAAGAAGGCGTTGAAGCCACTTCACATTTGATGGCCAAGAGATTGTTGAAAGGACGCGTGTCCAATTGAAATTCTAGTATTGCAGTCTGGCAGATCTGAATGGATAAAGAAAACTAAGTCTGAAGGAGTGCACGTCACTTTCTTTCAGATGAATGAGGACAGCTTCGCTTTTGTCAACATTTTCCGTTAAGGTCTGATCTGATCCATTGCAGACCCGAGCGGATGCTCCAATTTGCACTGGGCACACTGACAAACATGAATGCTTTGAGACACAGGCATAGGCACGTCCAAGAAAAAATCGCACACGTGGAAAGCTTAAAAAAACCTACAGAATTCATCATGCGCTTGGAAACATCTAGGAAACCGTCTTCATGCATCTTTTCCCCAAGGTGAAATGAAGACCCACTTTGAAAAATTATCTGGGAATCTATTGATTTAGAGACTGTTTCCCGCATGTTCAAATCCCTTTTGCTGAGGAAACACCACGCCGGCTGGGCTGTCCAGCATCACTGCGCTGGAGGATGCCATTGCCTGTGTATCTGCGGGAAGCAGTCTTTCCATGCGCCTGAATTCCAGGAGTCATTGCATGAAAGCATACACATACACACACAAGCATCGTCTGAAAGAACTCTGACAAACAACGGCAGATATAATTAGCAGTTTGAGGCCCAAGGCGCAAAGTGGTGCTTGTTTGCGTGCTGCTATGTGCAACTGTCGTTGTAGTTGTAGTTGCCTGGGGCATGCTGCAATGAACGGAACAGCTGAAACGGTCTACGAAGTTGCTGTTTCCGCTCCAAACCACGATGATTCTTCTCAACTGCCGACTCCAACTGACTCTGAAGCTTGGCGCCGGCATCGCTAAAATTTTGTATGTATGTCATCCAAGCCGTAAACTGTTGTTTCGGGCGGGTTTTTCTTTGCTCCAGTTTTATGCACAAAACTTCGGAGGGGATGGACAAAGGGAGGAGGGGTCATGAGTCATGAGTCTGAAAATGAAGGAGCGAGCTAGGATGCAATGAGCAAGGATTAGCAAGGCAGGCCTCTTTTCAACTCATCCATGAAAAGAATGCAATCACTGTGGAGATTTCAGTATGAGGGACTCGCCACTGGATTCTCCGTGTCTACTCACGAGCCAGTCGAAAGCGTTGGGCTAGATGTGATCTTCGCAGTACCCAAAAGTGTTACAAATGAGATGTTCGGTTGAGGCATTTTCTACAAGAATAAGACAATATAATCTGCAACTGGGGAGGAGTACGCCAAACTGTCGCTGGCCCAAACATCTGTCTCTCAACGGCATCAAACACGGCAATCAAACATGGCAATGGAAATCGTGCCTTTCCTAATGGCTTCACAGAAAAACTTCCACGGATAAGGAATTTTTCCAGCCCACCACACACTGCCAGAATGCATGCAACAGATGCATAGCGGTGGTGATGATGATGAGGATGAGGATGAAGGGGGCGATGCGGGTGACGAGGAAGATGAGGACCCAGGACATACGTGCAGGGAATTGATTTGGATTGTTGGAAAACTCAGGTAGACGCAGGTACTAGTAGCTCCATCTATGCTGCTGCTTCGCAAGTAGATCACACAAATCACCCATCCAGCCTTTCTCATATGGAGATTAAATCCCTACCCCTTAGACCAGGGGGGGCAGAAAATTGTAATATTACTTTTTTCGAGGGTAGGGGGGTGAAAAATGTAATATTACAATATTCGATTTTGAGGGAAAATGTAATATTACATTTTTTTGGTACCATGGGGAAATTAAAAAATGTAAGTTATGAAAGTTCAGGCTGACAAACATATGCATTTTGCAGGCACATCCAGTGCAGAGGCTTTTCAACTTTACATTTATATTGCCCGAAAACCGAAAACCTAATCATATAGCGGTATAAAGTGTCATAGGCTATGACTCATAGCCTATAACAAAAAAGATACCATATGATACAATGACATACCATAAACGATCTAAACCATATCTTAAACATACCAACAAAATATCTACAACATATCTAAATCATATCTCTAGAACACATTCAACATACAATTTTACATTTATTTTGCCTGAAAAACTCAAAACATAATCATATAGCGGTATAAAGTGTCACAACATATCTAAAGATACCATTTGATACCATGAAATACCATAAACTATCTAAACCATATCTTTAACATATCCACAAAATAATCCATTCCCCCTATTACCAAACCCACCCAAATAATCAAAACCAGGGTCCATCTCCAATTTTGGAAAATTTCAGATTGGCCAATTTGACTTTTGATTGATCCCCCTCAGAAAACAATTTAAAAATAAAGCTACCATTTGTGGGTTTCGCCCCTTAATTAAAAAAAATAGTCACCCCCGGGGTGTTTATTATTAGGGTCCGTCCGGAATTTTTTAGCTTTTTATATTCAGGTTTTTAATTATTATTAGGGCCCGCTTCGAAAACCAATTTTTGGCAATGTTTTATTTGCGTTATAAGAGGAAATTGAATAGATTTTGAAATCGGAAAAATAGTTTTTATTTTTAAGGTTTTTAATTTATTAATACCGTCCGATTCGAAATCAAATTTTAATTGCGTTATATAAGGAAATTGAAATGATGTTGAAATCGGAAAAAATGTTTTTATTATTAAGGTTTTGAATTTATTAATAGGGTCCGCTTCGAAATCCAATTTTTGGCAATATTTTAATTGCGTTATATAAGGAAATTGAATAGATTTGAAATCGGAAAAAATAGTCTGTATTATTAATGTTTCAAATTTATTAAAAGGGTTCCCTAATAAGTTACGTCACAGCACGGCATATCTTGCAAAGCATCTTTCTGCTTGCCTAGGATGACGCTGCACCTAGGCACGCATCTGCTGAGAACCACGTTGGGCACCTCAATGACTATAGATGACTGGGATGATATCCTATGTCATTTATTGTCATGTTGAGATATTTTTCCTGCATATGTGCGTATCATTGCGCACTTTGCCTGGAATTGCCATGAACTGCCTGGTGAATGGTGGTGTTTTTCCCCACCTGCCAGGTGAGGGTTGTTAGATTTTATGTCAGTTGCCTCCTCCTGCCTCGTCCTCCTCCTCCTCCTCCTCCTCCTCTCCTCCTCGTCCTCCTCGTCCTCCTTGTCATCCTTGTCGTCCTCTCGTTGTCCTCGTCGTCCTCGTTGTCCTCCTCGTCCTCCTGCTCAACTGCGACTCGCGATCCACAGTGTTCTCTGCCGGACCTCAACCACGACCATCCACGCCCAGTGTTCCCTGCCGGACCTCAACCACGACCAGCCACGCCCAGTGTTCCCTGCCGGACCTCAACCACGACCAGCCACGCCCAGTGTTCCCTGCCGGACCTCATCTGCGAGTATCCATGCCAAGTGTTCCCTGTCGGACCTCATGTAGGAATATATGGGACAAAGAATGTGCAGAAGAAAGTTAGAAAGAATGTCAGAAAGAATGTCAGAAGATATGCCAGATAGAATGCCAAATAGAATGTCAGATAGAATGCCAGATAGAATGCCAGAAGATATGTCAGAATATATGCCAGAAGATATGCCAGATAGAATGCCAGATAATATGCCAGAAGATATGCCAGATAGAATGCCAGATAGAATGCCAGAATATTTGCCAGTTAGAATGCCAGAAAATATGCCAGAAGATATGCCAGATAGATATGCCAGAAGATATGCCAGAAGATATGCCAGAAGATATGCCAGATGATATGTCAGAATATATGCCAGAAGAGAAGATATGTCCAGATAGAATGCCAGAAGATATGTCAGAATATATGCCAGAAGATATGCCAGATAGAATGCCAGAAGATATGTCAGATAGAATGCCAGAAGATATGCCAGATAGAATGCCAGAAGATTTGCCAGATAGAATGCCAGAAGATATGCCAGAAGAGATATGCCCAGAAGATATGCCAGATAGAATGCCAGAAGATATGCCAGATAGAATGCCAGAAGATATATGCCAGAAGATATGCCAGATAGAATGCCAAATAGAATGTCAGAAGATATGTCAGATAGTCAATGCCAGAAGATTTGCCAGTAAGAAAATGTATAAATGTCATGGTGGGGATCACACGAAGTAAAGTAATTTGAAAAATGTAAGCTAGACTGCTTCAGGTGTTGAAAATGATGGTGTTTTGCAGAAGATCTCCATGTCCGAACAGTCAAGCTTACATTTTCTTATTACTTCTTATTCCATCTTATTCCCACATTATGTCATATGGTGACATATTGCATCATACTGTGACATATCTTGCAACGCATTTTTCTGCCTGCCTAGGCTGGCACTGCACCAGAAGGAGAATCTGCTGAGAAGGACGTGGGGCACCTAGATCACTGTAGATGACTAAGATTGGCATGGGTTCACTAACTTTGACAAATATTGACAAGGTCCTTTGATAGTTATATAGTTTCTTGAAGTTTCTTATGGTTTCCAGTGGTTTCTTGATGCTCCCTATCTAAGCGTGAAAGGTGTAAGTTGATGCAAGATCATGCAAGAAAATGTAAGATCCAATGTTACATTATATTACCATATATTACATTACCATTACCTATATGGTAAGCCGTTTGGGGGAGGGTGTTTGAGATAGTGGTGGGCTGCATGGATTCTGGCCCCCCTATTGCTTTCAGCTTACATTTTTGCGTCGCATAGCTGAGATCCCGTTTGGTCATTTCATGATATTATATGTAATTTTTTTTGTGTATATTTGCGCATCATTGTGCACTTTGCCTGGAGTTGCCTGGTGAATGGTGTGTTTTTTGAAAAATGTAAGCTAGATTGCTTTGGGTGTTGAAAATGATGGTGTTTCCAGAAGATTTCCATGCCCGCACAATCAAACTTACATCTTTATTACTACTTCTTATTCAGTCTTATTCACTCATTATGTCATAAGGTATCATAAGGTGACATATTGTATATCATTTTTCTGCTTGCCTAGGCTGGCACTGCACCTGGGGGAGCATCTGCTGTCAACGATGTGGGGCACCTGGATCACTGTAGATTCTAGATGACTAGGATGATATTCTATGTTCATTTTTTCTGCATGTCATTGCATATGTGCGTATCATTGTGCACTTTGCCTGGAATTGCCGTGAATTGCCTGGTGAATGGTGGTGTTTTTTGAAAATGTAAGCTAGACTGCTTTAGGTGTTGAAAATGATCGTGTTTTGCAGGAGATCCCCATGTCCACACAGTCAAACTTACATTTTTATTACTACTTCTTACTCTTAGTCTATCTTACACCATCTGGTTCCCACATTATGTCATAAGGTGACATATTGTATGTTCTTGTATCATAACGTGACACATCTTGCAAACCATTTTTCTGCCTGCCTAGGCTGGCACTGCACCACGTTATGCAGCAAGTCTCTGTTCAAGACAATTCAAGACACAGTTGCTATGATAACATACCTCCAAGAATTGCCCCCACAAAATAGCTGACATTTATGTTCATACGTTTTCTATCATTTCCCGTGGTATTGAAATTTTGGAATTGAATGGTATTGATGTTGAATGAAATAAGTAGTAATGAAATGTTTCCCATTTCTCATTTCACGGGGAGACACAACGGGGGAACAGCTCGAGGACTTCGACCCGGGGACGGGGCAACACAACGGGATTACACACCGCGGTAAAACAAGGGGGTAGCACAAGGGTAACCAAACAGGGGGAAACAACAAGAAAATGAGAAATGTCACGTTTATAGTTGGTAAACAAGAAAAAGCTGCTTGTGCAACACATTGAAATTTCAAAATTGTGCATATGTGCTCAATACTAGTTCGATATTTTCAAAACGGATTTCTATCCATAAATTATGTCCACAATCAGTTTCAAAACATTCAGTGGTTCATTTTCAAGGTATTGCAAAAAAAGCTTTTTTTCAAAAATGTGTTTGTCAAAATATGCCGAAAATGAGATTTATATCCGTAAATTATGTCCGTAACAGTTTAAAACATTCAGTTTTTCATTTTCAAAGTATTGCAATGATTTTTTGAAAACATGTTTTCAAAATATGTTTGTCAAAAACACATGAAGATATGGTTTAGATAGTTTATGGTATCATATGATATCTTGTGATATGTTAAGACACTTTTTATCGCTATATGATAGTGTTTTCAGGTTTCAGGCAATATAAATGTAGAGTTGAAAAGCCTCTGCGCTGGATGTCCCTGCAAAATGCATATGTTTGTCAGCCCGAACTTTCATAACTTACATTTTCTTTTCCCTAATGGCGCCTATAGGTGGGTATATGTTGTGTAAATGGTGGAAATCATAGCTTTCTTTCAACACGCTGTGTATTTTGAATGTATTTTGAACATGATTTAGATATGAGTTAGGTAGGTTTTTTGGATATTTTGTGGATATGTTTAAGATGGGGTTTAGATTTAGATAGTTTATGGTATTTCATGGTACCATATGATACCTTTTGATATGTTATGACTTTTTTTTATCGCTGTATGATAGTGTTTTCAGGTTTCAGGCAATATAAATGTAAAGTTGAAAAGCCTCTGCGCTGGATGTCCCTGCAAAATGCATATGTTTGTCAGCCAGAACTTTCATAACTTACATTTTCTTTTCCCTAATGGCACCTAATGGTGGGTATATGTTGTGTAAATGGTGGAAATCATAGCTTTCTTTCAACATGCTGTGTATTTTGAATGTATTTTGAACATGATTTAGATATGAGTTAGGTATGTTTTTTTGGATATTTTGTGGATATGTTTAAGATGGGGTTTAGATTTAGATAGTTTATGGTATTTCATGGTATCATATGATACCTTTTGATATGTTATGACTTTTTTTTAATCGCTATATGATAGTGTTTTCAGGTTTCAGGCAATATAAATGTAAAGTTGAAAAGCCTCTGCGCTGGATGTCCCTGCAAAATGCATATGTTTGTCAGCCAGAACTTTTATAACTTACATTTCCTTTTCCCTCATGGCCCCTACAGGTGGGTGTATGTTGTGTAAATGGTGGAAATCATAGTTTTCGCTGTGTATTTTGAATGTATTTTGAACATGATTTAGATATGACTTAGGTATGATTTAGATATGATGCAGAGGAGGTTTCCAAAAGCCTGCAAAAACACATGGGGGTTGTCCAAAATTATGGTACCCGAAGACGCCCTTACGCTGCGCGTTCGCGAACCTTTCGCGAACCTTTCGCGCCCCAGCAGAATCGGGACATGAGATTATGATCAGGTTTTCGTTTACTTATAGGTTTATAAATAATGGTATTCAGACCTTTCGCGAACCTTACGCCGCCCTTTCGCGGCCTTTCGCCACTGCAGCAAAACATACACATCCATATCTGCAGATGTCACTCGGATACTAAAAGCCTTGCATGGGTTTTAGGACGACTCCCACATGAAGACTGTGACCTTCTGGTGTTCCTTTACCAAATCTAGCAAGCAAATGCAAAATTTTGGGGGGTGGCTAAAATGTAAGTTACCATGTCCCACATCGATTGTTACATTTTAACCGCCCCCCCTAGTTTTTTAGGGCCAAAAAACATGTAACTTACAATTTCCCACACCCCCCCCACTTATTGTAAGTTACAATTTTTCTGCCCCCCCAAAAAATAAAAGCCAAGGTTAAGGGGGTGGGGATGAGATTAATTCATTTTGTCAGCACAACTGCTGTTCACATAGGCATATGCCACAGTCTGTTTCCAAAACCACCACTCTCGGTCTCTCGAATCACACTCTCAGGCCCCTGTGGATGTTGCACTGGTCGACGTGCGAGTTGTGGAAGTTGTTGACAACACAGTAGGCGTTGTACATGTACTCGTTGTGGATGTGCTGGAAGATAATGTAGATGTACTCGTTGTGGACGTCACGCTAGTAGATTTTGAAGTGACAAATGATGATGTTGTGCTCGTGGTCTGTCAAAGGCTGCGTGAAGAGACGCACAAGGCATGTGACGAGAGTTCACTTGGGGGGGGGGCATGGAACTGGACATTCAGAGCAGAGCGGAGATATCTGGATCCGAAAAGAGAGCACCCCACGATGTCCATGGTTGCTCATCACTTAGTCCATTTAAATAGCCATTTGGGGGTATACATTGTCAGACACACGCATCGTGCGGGGGAAAAAAAACACGGTCAGTGTTAGCACAAACTCCAATGTCTCTTTTTGCGGTACCTATGGATGCTCGAACCTGTCACTTTCATCGCACCGTTGGGTACGGGGCAAATGGATGTCGAAAAATCCGAATTGCAAGTCGAATGATGATGATGATGATGATGATGGTGAGATGATGATGAGGATGATGACGATGATGCTGATGATGAGACACTGCGAAGGGGCTGCTGCGTGAAGAGACGCACAAGGCATGTGACGAGAGTTCACTTGGGGGGGGCATGGAACTGGACATTCAGAGCAGAGCGGAGATATCTGGATCCGAAAAGAGAGCACCCCACGATGTCCATGGTTGCTCATCACTTAGTCCATTTAAATAGCCATTTGGAGGTATACATTGTCAGACACACGCATCGTGCGGGGGAAAAAAAACACGATCAGTGTTAGCACAAACTCCAATGTCTCTTTTTGCGGTACCTATGGATGCTCCAACCTGTCACTTTCATTGCACCGTTGGGAACTTGGAAAATGGATGTCGACAAATCCGAATTTCAAGTCGAATGATGATGGTGATGAGGAGGTGAGGATGATGATGATGATGATGATGGTGATGATGACGAGACACTGCGAAGGGGCTGCTGCGTGAAGAGACTCACCAGGCATATGGCGAGAGTTCCCTTCGAGGGGGGGGGAGGGGAGGGGGGGGTCCCTTTCTCCTGGTCGTTCAAGGATAAGGGGTCCAGCCCGCCCCTTTGCTTCGCAAAGTAAAACTCAAGGTAGCCCGCTAGGAGGCTACCTCTCGTGATGTACTGATGTCTCATGGACCTGTGAAATCGAAGGCTGCCAATTCGTTTCACTTTGATAATTTCCGCTGAACAACAAACATACAACCGCTTTGACAAACATCACCTATGTAAAACGATGCTTGGAGACGCAAGGATATGGGCAGTTGGTTGACAGTCCTTTTGGACATGTTGGCAAATAAGTACATAATTCTTGTGATCTTTAATTCTAGTATTAAACCTAAAGAACAACCAATTCAACAGCTGGCAGAGTTATAGAAAAGGCATCCACATTTTGCAGGCACAAGACCTGCCCTTTGAGGCACCTAAGGTGCGATGAAAGTCTTTGCCAACGCTGCAAGGCAAACGACTTCAACACAGAACGTTTCCAATTTTGCGATTTTTGGACGTGTGTTAATTGCGCTGGCCTTTCTTGAAGGCACTAGGCCCATCCTACTAGTGTTACCTTTAAATTAAATGTAAACGCTTGACAAGAAGGTGACCATCTAATTCCCTACTCATCACGTCCACCGACGAGCGGTGTGGATGATGTTGAGTTTTTTCCCACTTCCCTCACACCATTCCCAGCTATCGCGTAAGGTTTGTCTCTGCAACGCATGAAAACCAGACCACAGACAGAACGTAACACAGTTGTTTATTTGTGTGCGCGTGTATTCGGTAGGTCCCCGCATCGTCCTTGATGTCGTGGTCACAGATATGGTCGTGGTGGTGGTGGGCACCTTTGCGGTCGTGGGACCGGGGGGTGACAGTCAAAAAACCAATGTTTTTTTTCAGTTGTGTTGTGTGATTTTGTTCCTTGTTCTTTCCAATTGTTCTCCATTTGTCACCTGTGCCTCTTTCCAGGTTGTCTTCATTTGCTACCGTGGCCTCTCTCAGACTTACATTGTTCAATGCATTTGTTTTGCAATTGTTAGCTTCGCCTTTCTGAAACTTGCATTTTTCAATTCCATTTTTTTTGCAATTGTGATGTTTGCCTTTCTCAAACTTGCATTTTTCATTTGCATTTGTTTTTGCATTTGTCATTTTTGCCTTTCTCTGAGTTGCATTTATCAGCCCCATTTTTTTTTGCATTGTTTCTGTTTTTTTTCAAGTTGAAAATATTCTAGAACAAGCGCAATTCGACAGCAGAAATAAATACCCTTGCCAACCTTGGGCATCAGCATCAGTTTCTCTTTCGACCCATGATTCAATTGTTTGAAAGGTCTCTGCGGATGTGCTAGTGAGGCTGGACGTTGAAGTTGAAGTCTGCCCGGCTCAGACGATACGCCACAAATCTCATGAAGCTCGTCAAGACAGCACTCTTGTAACACAACCGCAAAATCCTGCAACAGCTTCTGCGCGATTTTCTTATCAGTATTTTACCCAGAAAAAAACCTGCAGCTTTCCGTGCGAGCTCATTTACAGGTATTCCGCGCGTCAACTTGTTTTTACTCATTGATGGTGAATCGTTTTCTTCTAAGTGCCAGTTTGTCTGCAATGCATGAAACTCAGCCTCTGTGACAGTGGTAGACAATGCCAGGGTCCTGGACATCCAAGAGAGGGACAGGGCACATGTGGTGGCCGCACTGAAAACCAGCCTGCAAATACAAAAATGAATGTATGATGTACATGTATACAATCAGGATTTGGCCCTGTTCGCCCCATTGGCCCTAATGTACTGATGTCTCATGGACCTGTGAAATCCAAGGCTGCCAATTCGTTTCACTTTGATAATTTCCACTGAACAACAAACATACACCCGCTTCGACAAACATCACCTATGTAAAACGATGCTTGGAGACGCAAGGATATGGGCAGTTGGTTGACAGTCCTTTTGGACACGTTGGCAAATAAGTACATAATTCTTGTGACCTTTAATTCTAGTTCTGAAAGGCCAAGCAGTTTGGCTATGATCAAGAGTAGTATCAGTTCATATCAGGATCAGCTTGCGACTTTCGTAGGCATTGTGTGTCAAGACAAAAAGGCGCGCCCTCAGAAACATTCTGAGGGTTATGAGCCCAAAACAACGTTCTTTTTGACTTCAATTCGCAATGGAACCAATTCGCAGATCTTCATCACTGCCTCCACCTGAGCAACCCAATCCTTTTTGGAGTGACAGAATCCAAGAGGACCACCATTTGGAACAACGACGTCCCAAAGAGCTAGGTGGTGTCAATGAGCCTATTCCCTTAGATGATGACTTGGATAGATCACCTCAACCCTCGGGGTCAAGCGGCCTTGTGAAAGGTGAAGAGTCCACGTCTTTCAGGACACCTGCTGTAGAACATGCTCCCAGTGAGAAGCCTCAACTTGAGGAGTGGACGGAGAAGGAAATGGATGATTCTTTTCCGCCGGTGACCAATGGTGTCTCTGGGAAGCGTTCAGAGAGGGCATGGAGACGTAGACGTGTGGTGGGTGATAGGCAGTATGATGGTGAGCATGGGGCTCCGACAGAAAAAGTGGAGAAGAAGTTAGAAGATGAGTTGGGGGATCAGATGTTTTTCCCCAGATAGCTGGCAAGCTATAGGGGTTCTTACTTCTCAAAGGTGCGGTCTTCGGTGGCGAACTTTTGAGCAGGGTGCTGTGCAGGGTGCTGTGCAGGGTGCTGTGCAGGGTGCTGTGCAGAGTGCTGTCCAGACTGCGGTGGCGAAGCCTGGCGAAGGTGCTGTGCAGGGTGCTGTGCAGGGTGCTGTGCAGGGTGCTGTGCAGGGTGCTGTCCAGAGTGCGGTGGCGAAGTCTGGCAAAGGTGCTGTGCAGGGTGCTGTGCAGGGTGCTGTGCAGGGTGCTGTGCAGGTTGCTGTCCAGACTGCGGTGGCGAAGTCTGGCAAAGGTGCTGTGCAGGGTGCTGTGCACTGTGCAGTTGCTGTCCAGACTGCGGTGGCGAAGTCTGGCAAAGGTGCTGTGCAGGGTGCTGTGCAGGGTGCTCTGCAGGGTGTTGTCCAGAGTGCGGTGGCGAAGTCTGGCAAAGGCGCTGTGCAGGGTGCTGTGCAGGGTGCTCTGCAGGGTGTTGTCCAGACTGCGGTGGCGAAGTCTGGCAAAGGTGCTGCGCAGGGTTGTGCAGGGTGCTGTGCAGGGTGCTGTGCAGGGTGCTGTCCAGACTGCGGTGGCGAAGTCTTGCAAAGGTGCTGTGCAGGGTGCTGTGGAGGGTACTGTGCAGGGTGCTGTGCAAAATGCTGTCCAGACTGCGGTGCTGTGCAGGATGCTGTGCAGGGTGTTGTCCAGAGTGCGGTGGCGAAGTCTGGCAAAGGTGCTGTGCAGGGTGCTGTGCAGGGTGCTGTGCAGGGTGCTGTGCAGGGTGCTGGGCAGGGTGCTGCACAGGGTGCTGTGCAGGGTGCTGTCCAGACTGCGGTGGCGAAGTCTGGCAAAGGTGCTGTGCAGGGTGCTGTGCAGGGTGCTATCCAGACTGCGGTGGCGAAGTCTCGCAAAGGTGCTGTGCAGGGTGCTGTGAAGGGTGCTGTGAGAGGTGCTGTGCAGGGTGCTGTGCAGGGGGCTGTGCAGGGTGCTGTGCAGGGTGCTGTGCAGCGTGCTGCGCTTTGGTTCCCACGTTGGCAACCATCAGTTCCAACCTTTAGGAACTGGAAGTTCTTTGCAATGGTAACCTATGGTTCCCCGGTTGGGAAGCATGAATTCCAACCTCTGGTAACCGGCAGTTGCTTGCAATGGTAACCTCTGGTTGCCAGGTTGGGAACCATGACTTCTAACCTGTGGGAACCGGCAGTTCCTTGCAATGGTAACCTTTGGTTCCCACGTTGGCAACCGTGAGTTCCAACCTTTGGGAACTGGCAGTTCCTTGCCATGAACCAAACGCAAACACTCCGGTACCGGTCCATTAAGCAAAACAAAGCGTTCTGTACCGGTCCATTAAGCAAAACCATAAAATTGTAAAGAAACTGTTTTCATATCATTTTAACATGCACCTTTTTGGTGCAAAAACATTTTTATGCCGGCCCAACAGCCAAACGCAAACATTCCGCTACCGGTCCATTAAGCAAAACAAAAGGTTCTGTTACCGGCTCAGTAAGCAAAACAAAACAACATTAAGAACCATGAGTTCTAACTTTTTGGAATCAACAGATCCTTCCACTGGTAATGTATGCTTTTTCAGGTTTGGAACCATGAGTTTCAAGCTTTCGCAACCGGCAATTCCTTACAATGATAGTTGCTTAGCTTCGAAAGCATAACTTCTAACTTCTGGGAACCGGCAATTCCTTGCAATGGTAACCTCTGGTTCCCAGGTTGGGAACCGCAAGTTTCAAGGTCTGGGAACCGGCAGTTCCTTGCCATGGTAACCTTTGGGACCATCAGTCCCAACCTTTAGGAAACGGAAGTTCTTTGCAATGGTAACCGGTAACCTATGGTTCCCAGGTTGGGAAGCATGAGTTCCAACCTCTGGTAGCCGGCAGTTGCTTGCAATGGTAACCTGTGGTTCCCACGTTGGCAACCGTGAGTTCCAACCTTTGGAAACCGGCAGTTCCTGGCCATGAACCAAACGCAAACATTCCGGTACCGGTCCATTAAGCAAAACAAAGCGTTCTGTACCGGTCCATTAAGCAAAACCATAAAGTTGTAAAGCAACTGTTTTCATATCATTTTGACATGCACCTTTTTCGTGCAAATACATTTTTATTCCGGCCCAACAGCCAAATGCAAACATTCCGCTACCGGTCCATTAAGCAAAACAAAAGGTTCTGTTGCCGGCTCAGTAAACAAAACAACATTAATAACCATGAGTTCTAACTTTTTGCAATCAACAGATCTTTCCACTGGTAACGTTACTTTTTCAGGCTTGGAACCATGAGTTTCAAGCTTTGGGAACCTGCAGTTCCGTACAATGAAAGCCGCTTAGCTTCGAAAACATAAATTCTAACTTCTGGGAACCGGCAATTCCTTGCAATGGTAACCTCTGGTTCCCAGGTTGGGAACCGTAAGTTTCAAGGTCTGGGAACCGGCAGTTCCTTGCCATGGTAACCTTTGGTTCCCACATTGGGAACCATCAGTTCCAACCTTTAGGAACTGGAAGTTCTTTGCAATGGTAACCTGTGGTTCCCAGGTGGGAACCGGCAGTTGCTTGCAATGGTAACCTTTGGTTCCCAGGTTGGGAACCAGGAGTTCCAACCTCTGGGGACCGGCAGTTCCTTGCAATGGTAACCTTTGGTTCCCACGTTGGCAACAGTGAGTTCCAACCTTTGGGAACCGGCAGTTCCTTGCCATGAACCAAACGCAAACATTCCGGTACTGGTCCATTAAGCCTAAGCAAAACAAAGCGTTCTTTACCGGTCCATTAAGCAAAACCATAAAGTTGTAAAGAAACTGTTTTCATATCATTTTGACATGCGCCTTTTTCATGCAAAAACATTTTTATTCCGGCCCAACAGCCAAATGCAAACATTCCGCTACCGGTCCATTAAGCAAAACAAAAGGTTCTGTTAACAAAACAAAACAACATTAAGAACCATGAGTTCTAACTTTTTGGAATCAACAGATCCTTCCACTGGTAACGTATGCTTTTTCAGGTTTGGAACCATGAGGTTCAAGCTTTCGCAACCGGCAATTCCTTACAATGATAGTTGTTTAGCTTCGAAAACATAAATTCTAACTTCGGGGAACCGGCAATTCCTTGCAATGGTAACCTCTGGTTCCCAGGTTGGGAACCGTAAGTTTCAAGGTCTGGGAACCGGCAGTTCCTTGCCATGGTAACCTTTGGTTCCCACGTTGGGAACCATCAGTTCCAACCTTTAGGAACCGGAAGTTCTTTGCAATGGTAACCTATGGTTCCCAGGTTGGGAAGCATGAATTCCAACCTCTGGTAACCGGCAGTTGCTTGCAATGGTAACCCATGGTTCCCAGGTTGGGAAGCATGAGTTCCAACCTCTGGTAACCGGCAGTTGCTTGCAATGGTAACCCATGGTTCCCAGGTTGGGAACCAGGAGTTCCAACCTTTGGGAACCGGCAGTTCCTTGCCATGAACCAAACGCAAACATTCCGGTACCGGTCCATTAAGCAAAACAAAGCGTTCTGTACCGGTCCATTAAGCAAAACCATAAAATTGTAAAGAAACTGTTTTCATATCATTTTGACATGAACCTTTTTGGTGCAAAAACTTTTTTTTTGCCGGCCCAACAGCCAAACGCAAACATTCCGCTACCGGTCCATTAAGCAAAACAAAAGGTTCTGTTACCGGCTCAGTAAACAAAACAAAACAACATTAAGAACCATGAGTTCTAACTTTTTGGAATCAACAGATCCTTCCACTGGTAACGTATGCTTTTTCAGGTTTGGAACCATGAGTTTCAAGCTTTCGCAACCGGCAATTCCTTACAATGATAGTTGCTTAGTTTCGAAAACATAAATTCTAACTTCTGGGAACCGGCAATTCCTTGCAATGGTAACCTCTGGTTCCCAGGTTGGGAACCGCAAGTTTCAAGGTCTGGGAACCGGCAGTTCCTTGCCATGGTAACCTTGGTTCCCACGTTGGGAACTGAACCATCAGTTCCAACCTTTTCTATCTGGGGTCTATGCCGGTGTAATTTATTGTATATTGTATGT